CAGCAGCAGCAGCAGCAGCAATACCAACAGCAGCAACACGGGGGCGTCGGTGGGAACGCGTTCCCCCCGCGACCGCCTCTTCGCATGCTCATCCCTAGCATCATGTTCACACTGATGCTTGCCGTCGGCGCCGGCTTGCTCACCGTCTTCACCAACTACCGTATCCAGAAGCGCGAAGAGGAGTCGCGGCTGAAGAATGCACAAAGGGCGCACGCGGAGCGGGGGCGGGAACAGTACGCTGCAGCGGCAGCAACTGGTCCTTATCGCACTGGCTTTGATAGCCCGCCAGGGCTGGCGTCGCGCCGTAGACAGTAGGAGGAGAGGATGACGAAGGCATGGTGATTGAAAGCTTGTATACTGTGACATATATACTGTGACATTCAACGTACAACTACTAGCATTGCATGTCACTTTTTGCTTGCATGCCAGTTTCTATTGCTTCAGGCTCGCTTCCATCTTGTCTCAAAGTCCATTATTGACACTTCCGTTGAGCCCTGCTCGCATAAGAAGAGATGGGGAGGTGTCAGCATGATGATGGGCTCCTGGGGTGGTACATGGGACCGAAGACTCGCCGCCTCGTCGTAATCCATCCACTCTCCGTCCTCGAACTGCACTTCTGTGAACTTCGACTTGGACGAGGTCGAATCGCATGCAAAGTAGCTCTGAAGCAGAGAGGAGCAAGAATAATCATCACTTGTCAACTTTTCGCCACTCGGTGCCGCAGCTCGCGCTCGACGCTCACATCAGGATCTGGCTGGAACAAAACAGGTTCCAATCCTCTGAATTCAATCTGGCAAAGGGTCTGAAAGTCCGGCGCCGAGCTGTCGGGCACCTCGTACACCCGAAATGTCGGGTTCTTCGCGGTGGGCTCGTCGAATTCTAGGAAGAAGAGTGTGAAACTCTTGCATCAGTAAGGCAGTCTTGGAAACCGAGCGGCTCGCTTGCTTGCAACGCACTGGCCGAAGATTCTTTCTTGCAGAACTGCCATCGCGATGATACACACGAAGGGTCAGTATATAGACACTTTGGATTGCTGAAAATCGACACAGAGGAGCCCATGTCGACGTACTTGGCAACGCATGACTAGGTTCGCTTGGCCCCTACTACCGCTGAGATCCGCAGACTCGTTCTTTGTGATGGTCACCCAGTTCGGGTGTTCCTCTTGACATGACGTGCATTTGACTTTACAGAAAATCCGGTAGCTGTCGTCTACTGGCCTCAAGTTGTTCACGTTCTCGAACTGCGCCTTCACCTGCAATGCAAACCACTGGGAATGCCATGCAAACGTAGTTTCCTCGTGAGCTTGCAGGGTCCAGCACGACCTCACCGTTGCGCCTTCAGCGCACATGGGACTCACGGGCATAGCTGCCGCCGTTAAAGCAAAGCTTTTCCGTTTGATAGATGACTGTCACAAGCGCACACGGCCTTGTATATAGAGGGAAAAGCAGGGCTCGTTACTCGTACCAATGGCCTGCTTTTATGAAGGTCGTCATGGAGCGTGGCAGAGGGAACTTAAAAAAAGCTGTTGTACGACATGCAACAAGGCAAACTGCCAGTGACCCGGTAAGATCCACGTGAAAATCAAAGGAACGCAGATGGTAATCTTGCGAATTCAATCTCATCACCCATGGCATTCAATGGTAATGTATTTGGTGGTTGCTTAAATTGACAGCGACAGTCAAGAAGAATGAACGGGAATCGAAGAATATGGCAATAGCGAGATATCAGGACCGTGGTCATGCTTGTGAATGTGGAAATGCTGATACCTGCTGATTGTGATTGAGGACTTGAGTGTTCTCATACGAAAGGCCGATGGCCAAGAAAGGACAGTGGACGAAACTGGTAAGCAGTCAAGTGTTGCTCAAGCGGCTCCAGAGAGGGGAAATGTGATGAGTTTGAATGAAGGTGATGGGAGCGCGTGCTTGCCAAACGATGCTAAAGTGGTGGACTTGCGACGGCTGTACGTAGATTTGTTGGATATCGAAAGGATGGTAGGCTATGTAGGATTGAGGCGGTAGAGGTTGGAGGAAAAAGAGTGAGTTTTGCGCTCCCGCGTCTGGGCTCGGTATTCGAGGGGAAGCTCCATGTTGCTGTCCTTGGCCTTTGCAGTTTGGAGATCATCAAGCTATGCAAAGTTGTGATTCCGAGGCCCGTGCCGCCAACTTCGTTACTGCAAGATGAATGATCTGCTTTTTGAACGCTTTTCAGACGGCCTTCTAAGTATGTGCGAAGGTCGAGATGTGATGCACCTGGCAAAGCATCAGCGAAGGACCAAGGGGTTTGACCGAGAAGGTCTGAACTGCATCGGCGCATCGGAGGGGAGAAGTCGGCAGGTGATGACTGCACCTCTCCTGATTCGCCTGAGCACTGTCTCTGCTGGTCTAGACCGGCATGGTGATATGCTTTGGGCGAGACCAGTGTGGCGAGACTGCAGGATCGCTCTAGCGGCGGTGACCTCAACAGGATGGTGGATGACGAAGAAAGCTCCTCGCCTGTTTTGCGACATCTTGAGTAGGCACCGGGGCTACTTGGCAAGACCAACCCTTTCAAGGCGGACGGTCGACGGGAGTTGAGCGTTGAAACAGGCACGCCGAGCGAACCATCTATTTCGACATCCTGCTCGTCTGCCCAGTTATCATAGAACAAGCCAGGCATGCCAAGCGCATCGGGTTCATTGTCCGGTGGCACCGCTTTCGTTGGCACATGACCAAGGGTGCGGAATTGGGCGATGAGCTCGTCGTAGACGTGCTCGAGAGCGGTTTCCCAAGCTTCGTTCCACTTGTGCTCGTTACTAGTGCCTAGCAGGCCAGCACCGTCTGTTTGATGTCCGCTTAACAGTGTTCCGACGTCGACACTGGGACGCAAGGGCGGCAATGCGCTGACGGCTCTTCGCCGCATGAGATGCCGATCGCTGTCTAGTATGGATGGACGGACCACCAGTGTGCTTGCGGGTCGGCTAGGGAGCGGCGCTTTGTTAGGGAAAGGCGAGACATTTTCTGCCAGAAGAGCAGGCAGTCCTACGTGACGCGTAGCTTGAACATCAATCGTAAGCGAAGGAACGGGTTTGCGTGCTACGAGGCGCTTCTGTCCGTGCAGAATCTGAGCATCTTCGATATCACAGCATGATGACTTGGAGTCGCCCGCTTCGTGGATGCCTAGACCGCTGAGATGTGCTGCGGATGCGCCCGTCTGAAGGCGATGATGATAACCATCATCATCACCATCATCGCCTTCACTGTCACTAACACTCCTGGGTGATGTCGTGTCATCATACTTGCGTCGACGCTCTTCCGAATCGTGCCACGCATGCTCTTGCTGCGAAGCGAGGCCAAAACCATGTCGGATGCTGTACGTGCTATCGTGCTCATCGCCGCAAGTGTCTGTCGACGTGTCATGGCCAACAGGACTGTTTGCGTGACTTGCGTCTTCGACCCAACGGAAGATGTCCGCATTCTTGAGCAGACGCTGTGCATCATCGATCGTCTGCGCGGCTACACGCGCTGCGACGGACGAATTGGCACACTGCACAGCGTCAGGCGCGACTTGAACAGCCGGCGCGCTCGTTGTGCTGCAATCAGGACGCTGTAACATGGACGTTGGCTTAGACGGTAACATTGGTATATGCGATATCAGCAGCGCATGCTCCTGTTGTTCAGCTGGCGGCGTGGGTGGAAGAATATACTCTAGAACGGCAGCGATGGGCAAGCCGGTTCTGCGCGCTAACTCATGCAGGGGGGATGCATGTGGTGGCATCGCAGCAGCAGATCCGGGCGTTAACGTTGCGAAGGGTGAGAATAGGACAGGCCAACTTGGCGCCGTCACGATGACTCCAACTGCAGATGACGACAATGCTTCGTGCCTATCGCAATAGAACAGAATCGGTATGAATGTCAGCTGATGTCCATAGTAAGTCGTGTATGTGCAAAGTGTTAATGCTCACTTGAGTAAGAAGCGAGTCTTCTGTGCAACCTCCTTCGTCAGCCCAAGCTCGTCCGCCAGACAGTTGCGTTGTTCTTCTGCGCTCGGGCATAGCGGCAGCATCATGCTGCTCAGCGCCGAGTCATCCGGTTGGCCAGCAGCAGTACCGCTGAAGGGTCTGACGAGGATGGTCCAATTAGAGAGCTGCGACGCGGCCACTGGTGCCGAGACCGGTGCTTGTAGCACAGCAGATAAATCTCCTGGCCGTGCTCGATAGCTGTGACTGTGGCTGTGGCTAACGTGCGTAGTGGCTGCGCAGGACCATGTCGTCTGGTTTGAAGAGTAATTACTGGGCGAGTGCGTGATAGTGCGAGGACTGAGGCCAGATACACTCTGGGCTGCGTGAGCCACGGTGTCGACGGCCACGTCTCGGCCCTCCGTAGCGGAAGCGTAGACTGTGCTTACTGTGGAGGGGCGCCTCGACTGATCGTGTGGCAAAGCGGCGAGACTGAGATAGTTGCTCTGTGCAGAAGCAAAAGAGGCTGAGTCTTCAAACGAGTGGCGCGTGCTGCTAATCGTATCTCCCGGTGTAGTAGAGATGTACGGCAGCGGGAACGTGCTTGAGCGCGACATGGTTGCCGGCCACGGGTTAAGGCGTTGCTGATAGGCGAACGACGCGCTCGAGGAGGGCCGGGAGGACATGGAAGTATCTCGTTGGAAGACGACGCTGCTATTGCTGCTGCTATCATCGCTGATATTGCTCTCTCGCGCACTCGCGTTCGTTCCAGATCTCGAGTGCGAGCGTGATGGTGCCCAGCTGCGGCTGACAGCATTCGCGATGGGTTTGACAGGAAGCTGCTTCCTCAGACGGCGACGCTCACGGTCTGGCGTAATGTAGTGCTTGCGCGGTCCGAACGCACTGTCTACGTCGAGCTCAAAGTGGGTGCTCTCAGTCATCATCGCGGAGGACGCGCTGCTTTCGGCTCCGTCGAGACCGTGCACATGGGAGCTTGTTGTGCTTGGGCTCTGCCGGTGGCGGTCCAGCACGCTACGCTGTGGGGAGAGTAGCTTTGGCCGAAGCCGATTCTGAGGCAGACTGGCCGGCGTGCTTTCTGGTGCTGCTGCTGTGGTGGACGATCCAACTGATGACCGTGCAGATTTAGACAGAATGCGTGCTGGTGACAGGAGCTCGTGTCTAAAGTTGCTGCGCGTCACGGCTGGGGAGATCATGTGACGATAGGGAGGCGTCCCTGCACATCTGACAGGGTATTTATCCCTATTCTCGACTACGCTGTCGCTGTCGTCACTACTGGTCGTGTCAGCCCGGGGATGTGGCATGAGGCGAGGTCGACTAGGCGGCTTGATTGTTCTTCCACCGTCCTCGTCAGACTTGCATAGGGACAACGAGGCCAGCACGGACGTATCTTCTGCTAGCGCAGTAATAGCAGGAAGCTCGTCTAGAGGCAGTGAACGGGGGGAGAGAGGTCGAGACAAAGAGAGTCGCATCACCGCCTGCGCAGCTGCGGTGTCGACTGCATCGGCGAGCTGCGAAAAAAGGGATGCATTCGGACTGCAAGCTTCCTTTTCCTGGCCTCCCATCGCTGCGGCATGAACAGCAGCAGCATCGTGCCCTGGCGAAAAGATTCTTTGCTGTAGCATAGCCGAAGCACGCTGGACCACGTTATGGTCTGATCTTGCTCCCACAGGCGCTTTGCACGGCCCATCGACATGGGCGCTGGCGCTACTCGGCGTGCTAATCACACTAGCAGCAGTTGTGCTTGAGCTTGCACTCAAACTCACCGTGCTGGGCGTTGTCGACGCCGACATGGAAGAGAGGTAGCTGCTGCTTCTACTGATATCGCTCAGGCTGGCATCGCGACTGAAGCTGTCAGACATCGAAGATGTCACTGTGTTGGGCTCTGGCGTGCGGACAGAAGAGGCGGCCGCCTTTGTCAAAGGTGCAAGGGTGACGTTCGGGGACGAGGCTATATCGTTCAAAACACTGCCAAGATCGACTTGGTGCTTGACCTTGACCGAAGGCAAGAGCATTGCAGCGGTTCTGTCTCGCTGGCTATCATCCCGACCAGCATCTGTGACGGCTTCAATTGCAACAGGCGATGCGATGCGAGGTGTAAGATGGCTTGCCGAATCGCAATCGTTGTCTCCGCTGAACGGAACGCTGCTGGCTTTTTCCGAAGCCGCAGTAGTCGACGGGGTAGGGATGTCGACGGCCGCGAGGAGGGACATCGCGCCCACCGTCCGCGAGCGAGCTGTCCGTGCTTTTAGCGACTGACTACACTATTGCTACCAGCATATCAGAGAATATGGTTGTGTGAGGATGGTCAGGCGAATAGTTAGCGATGATGCAAGCAAGTACAAGCACAGGGAACCTGATTCGGCATCAGGGGAAAGGAGGGAAGTGAGAGATGCAGATTGCCTTGGACAGCGATGGGATGCAGAATCGGAATTTGGATGCTGCTTGGTTGATTGGAACGGAGGTCTGAGCTGCGCATGGCACGCTGGGATAGTCATCACAGAATCACGGTACTCGATCAGTGCTCTGAATCCAATGCGTCATTGATTGCAATTCGATTTTGGCGCTTGAATGACTGTGTGGTTTGTCAGGCGTCAAGCTTTCTGCTGGCTACAAAGTGCGAGACGCTCTTCGTCCCTTCATCAAGCCGCGAAGTGGGCAAGCAGCGACTGACAACTGGGGTGATGCAGGATAGTTCTTGGTGAGCCAACCACGGGGCGACAGCAATGATCGCGGACGCGCTGTCGCACTGAGATGATGGTTGTTTTCGCACTGCATCCCCTAGCCAGCCGCTTCACTTGAGCAACACGGCCACCAACTTACTCGCACCTGCAAAGTGCAACGGCTATCCGTCTTCCCAGATTCTAGATTCCATGTGCCAGTTCTGCCAGCTCTTGGGCTGCCTGACCAGTGACCAGCCACTGAGGCCGTGTATGTATCGCCCCCGACCCTCTCCCTGGCCGCACGACCCCCAATCTCCACGTGTCGAACGATTCCCAAGCCAACCACTGCTACATAAGAAAATCCTCGTTGGCGGCCTTTGGACACTTTTAAAAACGTTGACATCTTGACAGGCTGCACCAGTGCTGCACTCTGCTGCTCTTGGCTTCAGTCTACACGAAGCACGGTCCAGCGTGTGACACTAACAGTGCTCTGGCCTTGTCATACTGAGGGATGTGGCAATCGTGTGACAGGGTGTGGCCTGTGGCTGGAAGGCGAGCTGTGTGTATGTAACAGCGAGGATCGAGCACATGCACAACGTTACAAGGCCCTGCAATCTGCATGTTGGCATTGGCCACTTGATTTGACAGCACTCCTAGGAGACAAGCCCCTCACAGACCCTCATCATGTAACCACCAATGATCAGGGGAGCATCCGGCAGCACCCCCTGCAAGACTGCACCCTGCAGCACGCTACTGAAGAGGGAAACGACGGTTGGACTTCACTCGTTAGACAGCTCCTGGATAGACTGCCGCCAGCTGGTGGCTGAGTACGTAAACTGTGTACATGTGCAGTGGACGTTTGTTGCATCCCTGTTATGCGTGGGCAAAGGGGGGGGTGCAGGAGGACACGGAGGCATTTGACGTCGCCTCCTCGCAGGTGGCGCGTGCGACTATTGTGGCTTGTCGATGATGAGACTGCGATACAGTGCCACGCGCTTGGTTTAGAGAGAGATCTGCCATAATCCTCGAATGGCGGAACGGGTGTTAGTCGTCACGTGTGCACAAGCCCTGAGTGTCTCGGCCGAATAGTGAAAGCAATCCACAAGTGGGCTGAATATTCGCGGCTGCGGCATGCGCACACTCCACTCGATCCGTCCGCTGCCCAGCAGTTGCATGCACCAGCTGCTGGCAAACCTCCAAGAAGGAGTTCACCTGTAGCTAGCTTTTGACTATCTCCAGCAAGCGTTCAAGGCTCGATACTGTAATTGAGCAGTCAGGAAAAGCGTGAGTACGCCTGCCACCCACCAGGAGGAGCGACAGTGGTAGCAGCAGCAGCATTGGTGACGACCCTCACGCCAGCGGAGCTCCATCTGCAGGATCGTGACGGAGAGGATGGGCGGGATTGAGACATGGGATTTTCGCTAGAACAGGATGGAGGCCAGCGTTGAGGAGGTGTGTGCAGGCTGGGGACATTTAGTGCACAGGGAGCGCTGGACGGAGGAAGTGGCGGAGACCAAACCTTCACTGGCATGGAGCTGGGTGCATGGTAGAAGCTCGACAAATTGAACATATGGAAGGCACATTCCACTTATGGCTGCATGCAGAAAATTTGCGAGCGGCAAAGAGGTGCACATGGGTTTCGACTGGTCAGGCGGACATGGACTGCCCAGTGCATCAGATGATCCCAGGATTGGCACAGCGAGCTGCAAATGAGAGCCTCTCTCCTTTCAGCTCCCACTTCTCACAACTACTGTCGAAGCCAGATTTTGAACTGACGCCATCTTGTGTGGGTTACGCTGCTGTTCCTTGTAGTTTCAATATGCCGACCCGCTTCTCTAACACTCGCAAGCACCGAGGCCACGTCTCGGCCGGTCACGGTCGTGTCGGCAAGCACAGGAAGCATCCGGGCGGTCGTGGTCTTGCCGGTGGTCAGCACCATCACAGGACCAACTTCGACAAGTACCATCCAGGTGCGTTATTGCTGTCTCTATTTGGCAGGTTAGGGGATGGAAGGTCTGCAACTGGCAGTAGAACTGGAGGCATGTGGCAAGACATCAACGTCGAATTTTGGAGGGGTTGGACTTTGTTTTAATGCTTGTGATACCTGAGTTTGGAGAGTACAGCGGATCTGCGCTCGACTTTGGAACAAATAGATGCGGCTCATCAGGGTGGAAGCATCGATCATAATGCCGTGCTTAGCGGACTGGAACAAGGCAGAGATGCTACAGATTTGCTCGTCTCGCACCCTTTTTTGTAAGCTTCTCCGCTAACGATTTTTCATTCCTAACAGGTTACTTCGGAAAGGTTGGTATGCGCCACTTCCACCTCACTCGCAACATGTCCTGGAAGCCCGTCATCAACCTTGACAAGCTCTGGACCCTCGTCCCGGCAGAGCAGCGGAAAGGCCTGAGCGCATCCAGCACTGAGGTGCCAGTCATCGACACCCTCGCGGCTGGCTACGGAAAAGTGCTTGGAAAAGGGCGGCTGCCGGCTCTTCCGTGCATCGTCAAGGCCCGCTTCGTCAGCGAGCTCGCAGAGAAGAAGATTAAGGAGGCTGGCGGTGTCGTCAAGCTGGTCGCATAAGTGAGCCTCGCCCTCTCTTCATTCGACCGCGTTACATTTGCAAAACGGATTGGGGTCAGGAGGGATGAGAGGGAGCTAGATATGCTCCTCCCTTCGCTTGGCCCCGCTTGAGCTGGCGACGCTTGGGAGTCTTTGCCATGAGGCTTCCCTGCAAAAGCTCTCGGCGTGGGTGACGTGGGCGTATGCGCGCTCGCGCGCTCACTTGGCCATGCATCAATCGGTGGCTTCAGACCCACTTTGTACTATCAGCAAGCTATGGCAAGCCTCTCTCACATGCACATGAAGCGCAGAAGCCACGAGTTTGATTGGTCTGAGGGTGAGGGACACTGCTTCGTGGGAGCAATGTTGATGGCAATATGCCAAGGAAGCAGTGAACACTAGACACGGACGGTGCACAGCGAAAAAGCCAAGTGGCATTATCAAGTTCCTCAACTAGATGGGCATAACGGCAAACAAGTATTGCATCGATTATGAAGAGGCTGACCTACATACGCTGCGGCTCTGCCGCATTTCGTAAAACTTGCGCACCAATGAGCGATCCACGGTCTATCAGTGGGAGTAAAGTGAGGAGGTAGAAGACATCGATTAATCAGCTGAGCCCGCAGACGCACATGAGGGGCGAAGAGGACCCACCTGGATGTAGTACTTGCCACTCCGGTCGGCCCAGCTAACGCACCCGGACGTGTGCATCCGCTCAACCACGCGCAGGATTGCCAGCGGGCTGGAGACCGTGCGCTCCGTCAGCCGGAAATCGGGGGGAACAAACGGCTTGAGAGAGACGACGTGCGCGCCGTCTTTGAGGTCGAGGAATTGCAGTGAGAGGGTCTCGTTTGTTTGTGGCAGGAAGGCATAGCTGGAAAGGATGTAGTGCGGGTAATTTGACGGGAAGGTCAGCAATGAGGTCCGATGGCAGCGCGGTAGCTGTATGCGTGTTTGGTGTAGATGGGCTGACTGAACTTACTTATTGACGAGCACGACGTCAGCTTCCGACAATGCCTTCCTGACTTTGACGTCATCGCAAAAGTCGCCTTTCCAGCTGTCCATTTCACCACCCCTGAGCGCCCACATGCACCAGCGCGTGCGAGCCTCCTGCAGTTGCCTGTCGGCAAACTCGCTCGGTTTATTCATGATCTCGCATCCGAGAGCCTTGCACCCCGTTTGCAGCGCAGTCTGGATCAGCAAGTTGCCAACGCCGGAGCCGAGGTCAAGAAAGACCGAGTCGGGCTTCAGCTGCGTCAGCTGCGCAATCTCGGACATGAAGCGCGGCAGCAGCTCGCCGTAGACATTATCGCTGAACGCAGCGTACCGTCCCAGCTCCTCCACCTGCGGACCGACGGCGCGCGCATAGCATTGATCGTGGATCACGCGCCACACCGCCTCGGGCACGCCAGTGCGTGTCATCTGCGAGCGCAGATTGGCGACGATGGCGCCAGATTGCTTGAGTGAGAGCAGTGCGCTGTTGAAGCGTGCGAGCGTCCGCATAAAGAGCGGGCCGTCGCGCCGGTTGCGCGCCTTGGTAAAGGATCGCAGGATGGAATCTTGCTCCCCGCTGCCGCCTTGGACATTGCAACTGACGTGCCGTGCCATCGCAGTCGATCCTACTGCACCTCGAGGAGAACTCGTGTCCTCAAGCGTGCTCGTAGCGCTTGGACTTGCCTCTTCCCCAGCCGCAGATGGCATCGGGACCATCGATCCCTCCCTGGAGCCAGGGGTTGCACTCCTCCTCACCGACGAGGCAGGCCCCGCGGCCAGTTGCGCAGCGGTCAGCTGCAGCCCAGCGGTACTGCTGACCTGCAAGTCATCCAGATTCCCAAACATCTCTTCCCGCTGCTGCGGCGTCAAGAAGCCGCCAGCCGCAATCGCGTACACTGTACGCAGCAACTCGGCGATCGGATCGTACTCGTCTGTGGTTTTTGGGCAGAGCAGCAAGAACGTTTCGGATGCGTCGACGGACGGGTATTCCAGCGTCGCCAAAGGCTCTGCGGGGAGGTCACGGAAGACTGGTCGGTAGAGTACACGGGAGCAGAGGATATCAGAGAAGAGCTTCGAAGAGATCATTGCCGCGGCAAAGTGGGCCTCACATTTTCCGTATTTGCTCCGACCGCTCAACTCGACTAGCTCTTTGGAACTGATTATCCGCTTCTGGCCCCCCCTCGCCTTGCAAGCTTCTCTGAACGGAAGCTCCTCGACAAGATCTTCGCGAGCAACAGCATAAGTGGCTGCGACGCCCTCGCGTCCGAGTTTCTTGTAGCCCTGCAGTAAGGATGAACCCGACGTGTATTTGCGCCGGAGCTTGTGGGTTGAAGCATTTTGTGGTTGCCCATCAGCGTCAGAGAGGGAAGACGATGAGGACGCTTCGGAAGAGAACAGAGCTCCCACAGGAGAGTGCGCGCGAGAGGCATGGCGCGATGCAGATGCAGGCGTGCTGCCACCATTCACTCTCCGTTTCCCAGGTGAAGTTGAAGTGGAAGAGGAGTCTGAACCATCTTCATCGTCGTCAAGCTTTCGCCTCTTCTTAGCGTGCAGCTGCTGATGTGCTGCCTCCCTCCCAGCTCGTTCCTTGATGGCCTTCTCCCTCGCAATGCGTTCCCTGTCCTGCGCAATGCGCCTCCGATACGCTTCGGAGAGTGCATTTGTGGATGCTGACGAAGCCGCTGCTGCTGAGCTCAGCTTACTTCGTCCAGCAGCAGCAGCAGCAGCAACCGTCGCAGAATGAGCAGCAGGAATGACCTTTTTCTTGACAACGGTTGTCACGACCACAGATGAGCCAGTGGGCCTGGACAGGCTGCTCTTGGAGGTTCCTGCGCCTGACTTCCCTTTGGCCAATAAGCCCTTCGAAGCTGTGGCGGCATTGGCAGATGCTCCACTGTTCGTCCCTTTTGCTGCAGTGGGGATTCCGTCTTCCCTTCCCTCCAGCGTAGCACTGCTGCTGCCGGCCCCACTTCCACCGCGGCCACTGGTGCTGTTCGCACTGGGGCCAGAATTGAAGAAGTTGAGCATGGCGACAGTTATGGGCACGCCGAGGGTCGCTATGCTGCACACCACTCCGGCACGTTGCGTTTGCAGTACTGTGAACCTTTTGGCCACTTGCTCGGCGAGAGGGAGGATCAGGCCCTTGCGGGTGCGCGATCGATCGCCAGAGCTTAGGTGTGCTAAGAGGACCAAGTGCACGATGGGGGATTGCGATCCAATGCTCCGTACGAGGTGAAGGAGGTCGCGGCGTGCACATTCTCTGAACGGAGTCTCGTCTGCGAGCAGCATGAGAGTGGGGACTGAACCCCAATCCTAACGTCGGGCCAAGGACAGGTGTTACCCACAGTAACCCTAACAGTGGCGACGCGGGCAATGACGACACGTATGGTGTGGACTACGCTTGGACCTTCTCTTTCCCAAAAGTCACCTCACCCACCACGCATGACATGAGAGACCTCCCATCGCCTTTCTCTTGCGCGCCGCTCATGGCGCTCTGGCGCTGTCAATTGTACTTTCCAAGGTCAAAGGCACCTGCAGTTGAGCGAGAGTACGTCTCATTTCCTTCTCATTTATCCTCTGGGCCATGCGTTATACATCGAGCACCATTATGGCGCGGTTTCATTGAAGTGCAGCTCGGGCCTTGCCCAGATTGTTGACTCATCGATATAACCTCTTCCATTCTGCCATGACCGATGACAGACAGAACCAGCTCTCGCCTCTGCGTTGCCGCCGCCAGTAGTGACTGCCACCTCTTTCACGCATGGGCAAGCGCCTCGCTTGCCCCAAAGGCGGTCGTCCTTACCGATTGGAGGCCGGGACAATGCTAAACCTGCTCTCACCTTAATTAAGCATATTCTTCAAGTAGAATAGACTGGAGTGCCATTCTCTCAATCGGATCTGGCCGTGCAAGGCTTCGCGTTTTTCTTTCATTTTCCGAACAAGGAACGAATACTTAGGCACAAGCCATGACAGAACCCACATCAACGAAGCGTCGTGCGGTTGAGCGCAGGGGCGGCGCTGACGGCCCCACACCTGCACCTGCACTCCCAAATGGCGACACCGCTGCTGCCTCCGCTGCAGCAGTAGGGGGACCGAATGCAGACAGGGAAACGAGCGACAACATCTTAACACATACCGTCTCCGAGTCACCGGGATTTGGCGCCGGCCCGAGCCTTGTGTCGGCCGTACCCTCGTCAATTGCATCTGCACAAGCCCTCGACACGCCTCAAGCGCAACAGGTTTCCTCTCAAGTAGTAGCAGAAGCGCGCGCAAACAGTCTCGCCGCCAGCAGGGTGGCCCAAGCGCAAGCCCAAGCAGTCGCGAATTCGCTGTCTGGCTCCTCCCTCGCCGCATCCCTCGTCAGAATTCCTGGACCTGCCAGTGCTGCCTCGATGCTACGTGCAGCTGAAGTATTCGCAGCTGAAGCGTCCACTTCGCCGGCGGCGCTTCATGCTATCTCTGCTTCGCTTATCTCGCAGGCTCAGAAAACGGGGGAAGCACTCGTCATGGCGCAGGCACAGCTCACAGGCATACCCATCGGCAGCGCCGCAGGAGCTGCTGCGGCTGCTGCCCCTCCCGGATCAAGTGCTAACGCCGGGGAAGGGCAGATCGCAGGGGTTCACCGGAGGACCAGCGAGGGCGGCTTCAGGATCGATGCCCCCACTGCTGATTTGCTGGACTACTCAAGTTCTTTGACAGCGCATATCAGCCAGGCCATTGCGCGACAACAGGCCATGTCGGCGGCCAGTTCCAGCTCGCCCGCCCACACCATCAGCTCATCTTCCTCGCATGCTCAGCAATCTTTCGCAGTAGGGTCAACACAAAGTGCTGCGGCTAATGCCAACGCTACCTCCGGCTCAAATACAGATATCACACACGAGCTTGTCGCAGTCGCGCGAGCAGAAATAACGGACATTGCCGTGCGTGCTGCGGCCCAGGAGGCGCAGGCGCAAGGATTGGTGCAGGAAATGATGCGTACACGCAGCATACAGCCCACATCTACTAGCGCGGTTGGACTTGGGACTGGCATTGGAGATAGAAAGGGCGAACAGGATTCCACTACACTACATACTGCTGCCACTGCATCTGCTTTGCTGGGTGCAGGCGTACAAAGCAGTGCCCTAAAGCGAACGAGTACCGACGAAGCTCGCAGCAGCATCGGTAGCAATAGTAGCAGTGGTGGTAGGCAGCCGTCATCCGGCGTCGCCGCCGTAGACGCCTACCTCGCCAACCTGGGTCTAGCGCAGATACGCGTACCGCTCGCTGCGCCGGCTGCCAGGTCCTTCGCTTCGAGTTCGACGATGCCAACAGACATTACCGTCCCTGTGCCGCGGTCTATCGCCACTAGTCAACCTTTCGGACAGGAGGTGGATCAGTCATCTGCAGCGATACCGACGAAATCGACGTCCATGCCGGCTGCTGCCACGACTGATTCGCGTTTTCAAGAGCAGCTAGGTCGACGCAACGCCGCCGGCAGCACAAGAGCACGAAGATGGGACGAGTCTGACCCACTTGCGGATCTGAAAGTTGGCGGTGTACCGAGCATGCCGCTGATGCCTGCGCCGGCACTGCAGATGCTGCCGCCGCCCGACTCTCCGGCGTTCCTGTTGGAGCACTTCGCCAAAGCGGCGCGCCCGGGAAAAGTGAAGGGCAGCGCGCCTGCTGCTGGAGCCGCTCATCGGCTCGAGGTCACGTCTGCGAAAAGCGGCACTTCTTTGAGCTTCAAGCCGCAGCGTCCCGCTGTGAAAGGCGCGCCTAACAAGATGATGGATGGCGAGCGTGGGACTGCACCTGCCATACAAGTGGAAGGAGAAGATGCACAAGGGAAAGGACAGCAAGAGTCGCTGATGGAGCTAAAAGAAGGCCTTGCTCCGCTCCTCATCGCGCGCCAACGACAGGGGCAGGGCGATGAGTTGTCGCTATCGCTCGGCGGCCAGTTTCCGTTCCAAGTGGTGCAGACGCCGGGGGGCACGGCGCGCCCTGGGTGGTGGATCCCGACGTCTGCGCTCGAAAGCGGTGGTGCATATTCATCTTCATCCGCAGGAGCAGCCTCGAGTGGCAAGCACAGCGGGCAGAACGGCGATAACAACGCCGTACGGCGTGCCAGTGCGTGCTTCCAGCCCAGGTGAGTTGTGTCACTGCCCTCTATGCGCAGTGCTCCATGTGTTGTTTGTGTTGGTCTGGCGGGTTATTGTGATGGAGAAGAGAGCGGAATGACGTATTCACGGGCGAAGAACGAGATGAGCCGCGGGTGTGTGCTGTTTCATCTCGCCATATGAAGTGGAAGGGGTCCGAGCGTACACTACATCACTGCAACTTCGCCTCAATCAGCACTGCATGCACCTTCTTGCTTTGCTTTGGAAAGCCAACCAAGGCTGCCCTGGGTGGGGTGCGCCAAAATATCAGCCACGCAATGAACCCGGACCCGCCTGTCTAGTCATGGTTGTCCATCCTTGCTTTTATTGCGTCAAAGTTGGGGAGGGTGGACGCATAGCCTTATACAAGGCTTTCTATCGCCTGCTTTCATTTGCTTGCATACAGCCCTAACTCTTTCTTTGGGGCGGCGCGCTCACTATGGGAAAGGAAGGAAAGACGCGCTGGCCAGCCTTTCGTTGGAACGGTCCATCATCGATCTTCGAAGTTGGCATGAGCGCAGGGGTAGGCGGAGGAGGGGGCCCACATGCACATTCGCTCGTAGCAGCGGCTTATGATGCAAGGGTCGCGGGAAGAGAAGGAGCGCGTCATGGGCGAGCTGGTTCCACTAGGAAATGCATCGTTGAAACGCAGAAAGACAGTGACCGTAACAATGCCGAGACGATGACGCTAGCTGACGCTCGTGCCAATCTGCACGGTTCTGCCACCACACGCCAACGCCACTGTGGCCTTTACGAACCCAGCTATCGCACATTCACATCCGATGAGTTCGCTGCTCTCGCATCAGCCGCAGCGTTCACCACCGCAGCATTAACGACAAAGGCATGCCGTGCTTCTGCTACTTCGCAAGACGGCGACACGACCATGGCGGGCGCTGCTGCGTCAGGGATAACATTAGCATCAGGCACGGCAGCAACAGGCGATGGCCCAACAGAGGCGAGAGCAGACGAGCAGACAGAGTGGGCTCCACTCTCACCACACCAGCAAGAACAGATCGCCGCGCAGCTGCGCGCTTGGGCTGGCCTCGAAGGGCCCGAGCGGCAAAACGAGGCTCGTAAGGCGCTGGAAGAGCGCAAAGTCCAACTGCTCGAAGACGCCAGCACCTCCGGCGGTGCTTTATCGGTGGCGCGGGCAATGGAGAATGGCGGGTTCGACGACTTCGACGCACCGATCGAGCAGGTGCCGCCTTCGGCCTTCTTCCCGCCAGACTTTGCGAGCCACTACCAGGCACAACTGCGGGCGCTCGCGGAAGGCTATTACGAGCGCTTGCACAAGGAGGACCTGGCGCGTTCGCATTTTGCCGCGAGCGATGCGGCGGCCGCCGCTGCCGCTGCCACGTTGGAACAGACGGCCAGGGAGAGCAGGCGGGCCAGCATGTCGCGCATTACCAAGGATGCGCGTCAGGATGATGTAGTTCCAAGCGCGGGTGCCAGTGTGAAGGGCCTCCTACCGAATCGCAAACGGACCGCCTTGGAAGAGGAGCGCCTCGACATGGAAAAGCTATCGCATGAGCAAGCCAGAAACCAGCAGGTCATCCGGAACGCCGTGCAGTCACAGAATGACGCGCATTACGGCATGCCGGGCCCGGCGTACGGAAATGGGAACCAGATGCCTAACCTCCCGCCCGCGCAAGACCCAATACAGCTCATCGCTGCTGCGTCGGGCGCCGCAGGCGTCGACGTCCGCTCGTCGCAAGTTCGCGACCAGCTGCTACAGTTTGCGCACATCTTATACTCGACAGGGAGCACAACGGTACCTGTTTCTTCTGCTTCTGCTGGCCAAGATGGTAGTCTTTCTGCTGGATGGGCAGAGAAGACGGCAGTCACACAGCTGCATCCGACCCTGCTGCCGCTGCTGCACACGCTGCACGGTCTGCACCCTGAGCACCTACCGACGCTGTTGCTTCTTTCATGCGCATACTACACTGCAGGCGACCTGCCGGGCTCGCTGTGGTACAACAACCTCATCCTCCGCCTGGACCCGCAGTATGTCGAGGCAATGAGTAACATCGGTACGACATTGCGCGCGCTGGGTCGCTGGCGCGAGGCGGAGAGTTGGTGGTGGAGAGCGGTCAAGCTGCGCCCGGGCTACTGGGACGCGTACGAGAACCTGCTCGGCGTCCTCTGCTCGCCAAGGCACGTTGATACAGACACACCGTCTGCGTTTGCGTCCGCGCAGCAGCAGCGTGGCGAAGTGAAGCCTGTGGCAAATGGTGGGCTGCCTTCATTGCCAGCGCACGACCTCGCTGCTGTCAAGCCAAAGGCGGCCATGACCGGCCCGCGCTTTGTGGAAGCTCTGCGGCTCTGTGAATTCGTCGAGCGCCAAATCACTGGCATGGCAATCTCGAGTCATGCCCACGAAAAAAGCGCCCAACCATGTACATCGGGCGCTTATGCCCCTCCCATCGGCTGCCCTTTCACCCTCCCCGCCGCGCAGGTACCGCGCCTGCAGAACCTTTACTACGGCAAGGGCAACTTGAAGTACGTCCTCCCTGACCTCGGACCTGTGCCCGCAGCGAGTGAGTACGAGCATGCGATCGAGATCGTCATCTCGCCGCACACGTATCTCGCATACAGCACTAGGGACCTCATTGTCGCCGTCTGCGTCGTCAGCGTCCTGTCGCTTGGCGTTGAGACTCCTGGTTTCCCAGGCAGTGCGGCAGCGTTCAAGGTCGCGCAAGCTATGGGCCTCAACCTGGCGGACCAAGCGCAGGCAAGGCTTGTCGCTACAGGCGCGTACGCGTCGCTCATGCGCGGAGGCGTCCTGGCGCTCGTGCGTAGAGCCGGCGACGAACTCGTCCATATGCTGGTACAGCTCGGCGGCGGGCACCTACCCATGTTCCTGCTGCTACCCGCGCCGGCGCTGCGGCTGGCAAAGATCATCTTCTCCGAGACGAACGGGACCTTGCCGTCATTGGCGACGCCCATTCCGGGCAAGCGCCCGAGCGACCCGAATGCGCTCGCGCAGGCGATCCAGCAGACCAACATGACCACGTCCACCGTCATGCTCACGCTCGCCAAGCTCTACCAGGACGCCACCGCCAGCCCGACTGCAGGGCCGCACGGAGCGCTCACGCTCGGCGGTATCCCGCCGTCCGTATCGCTTCTGCTACCGCTGTACTACATGTCGCTGTCGCTCAACGCGTCCGCGTCGACATGTAACAACCTCGGCATTCTTTTCTCCTCCATCCCGACCGTCACGACGGTGCTCGATACCGCTGGCAGGCCACAAAAGGTCAACGGACAGAGCTTAGCAATGCAATACTACTCGCATGGCCTGCAGCTCGACGCACAGCACCCGCATCTTTACACCAACCTTGGTAGCCTGCTCAAAGACCTCGGACACCTCAGCGAGGCTATCAAGATGTATGAGAAGGCTGTTGCGTGCAATCCGTGAGTTAGAACCGATATAGCATTTACAAAGTAAGACATCGAGCTGACCGTGGCATGATCCGTGATGTGTAGGAAATTTGATGTCGCGTTGGCCAATTTGGGCAATGCGATCAAGGACCAGGGCAGGACGCAAGACTCGGTCATCTACTACCGTAGGGCCGTCGAGGTCAACCCGAACTTCCCAGAAGCGCTCTGCGGCCTCGTCAATGCTCTGCTTGCCGTCTGCGACTGGAACGAAGTCTACGAGGCCGATTCGCCGCTCATGGCCCGTGTCACTGAGTTGGTGAACAAGCAGCTCGACGAAGGATGCCATTACGGAACGGGGACCATGCAACTGGATCGCCCTTTGCAAAGTTGGATTCGGATCATCGCCAATGCTACCGGCGACTGGCGGCACGAGGCGCACGCTGCATGGGCTGAGCGCTTGTCCCACTTCTTTGCGCCAGTCAATCAACGTGACCAAACGCTAGGCGAAGGCTCATTCGTCATCCGGCTTGTCGAGAAGCTCATGCGTAAGATGCAGCGCCGCTGGTTTCTAGACCTCGCCGCGCAGTCCAATGCCGCCGGCACAGTTCTGCGACCCTCGGCAGCCGATGCGGCGCGCTACGTGCGGCCCACGCTGCCAACCCGGATGATCGCAGCGGCGGTGCCGACCGTGCTTCCATTTCATACGTTCACCTACCCGCTTTCCGCTCGCCAGATCCGCCTGATCTCGCATCGCAACGCATTACGCATCTCTCAGACGACGCTAACGCAGATGTGGCTGCCCGCGCATGTGTACCCGCCTCCGCCTTTGCCAGCACCCACGATCAATGTAGGCTACATCTCGTCGGACTTCAACAATCACCCGCTCGCGCACTTGATGCAATCTTGCTTTGGTTTCCACGATCGCAGCCGCTTCAACATCCATCTCTACGCCACCACAGTGTCAGACCAGAGTCCGTTCCGCCAGAAGATTGAAAAAGAGGCACAGCACTTTCTGGATGTATCGGCGTGGACGAATGAGCAAGTCATTGATCGTATCATTCAAGACTGCATCCACATCCTCATTAATCTCAATGGCTACACCAAGGGCGCACGGAACGAGATCTTTGCTGCGCGTCCGTGCCCTGTGCAGATGGAGTTCATGGGTTTCGCGGGGCCCCTGGTCTCGGGATGGACTGACTGGGTCATTGCCGATCCCATCGTTTGTCCGCCGTCGTTTACCAGCGGAGACGTCTGGCGAAAGGCACTATCACAGTCCCACGCAAACGGTGGCGCCGGCAGCTACACACACACAGCGCCATTACGGCCCACCGATCTCGACGGCGATCTTGACCCAGAAGGCCCGAGAGACGACTGGCTCTACTCCGAGCGTTTCATCTACATGCCCCACTCGTACTTTGTCAACGACCACAAGCAAGGTTTCCAGGAGGATGGCAGCTTGGAAAAGGCCCAAACTCCGGAGGGGCTGTGGAGGCTGGAAGAGCAAAAACGTTGGGTTGCACGCAAGGAAGTAAGTCGCACAAGTACATCCTATTACTCCTCGCTGCTGCGTGTCTGACAAGGAGCCGTCACACAGCTGTTCCCGAATCTTCCAGACGATTACATCATTTTCACCGACTTCAACCAGTTGTACAAGTGCGAGCCTAGTCTGTTCAGGCTATGGCTGCGCATTCTCGCTCGTGTCCCGAAGTCGATCCTCTGGTTGCTTCGCTTCCCAGCGTCCGGCGAGCCTCACTTACTTGCCTCAGCTCGCGAATGGGCTGGAGACGAGGTGGCCTCGCGCGTCGTCTTTACTGACGTCGCACCGAAGCACATACATATCCAACGCGGTCGCATCGCAGACTTGTTCCTTGATACGACTGAGGTGAGTGGCTTGGCTGGCCGCTGTACTGCTATCTTTGCACAACTTTACTGATGATGCGCATGTTCTGATGCAGTGCAACGCCCATACCACTGCTGCTGATATTTTGTGGTCTGGAACTCCAGTCCTGACTTGGCCCAAGCACATGCACAAGATGTGCTCGCGCGTCGCTGCCAGCATTGTCAAAGCTACCGGACTGGAAGCTCAGCTTGTGGTCGACAGTGAACAGGCTTACGAGGACCGGGCTGTCCAGCTTGCCCATGCTCTTCATTACGACTATATCGATGCTCAAGGCTGCATCGTTCCACCCGTCCAGCCTGCAACGGACACCATCACGGCAGATGCGCTCGCCATCAACAACTCAGCAAGCTCGGCTGTTCCTCACTACGCACCCCAAGCAGCTTCTCAAGCCGGCACAGCCGGTGCCACTGCTCCAACATCCAAACATGCCATTGAAACCGGCTCAGCACAAACATCTGCTAAGAAAATTGCGGTGCAAGTCACCGCACCATCCGCGAGTGTCAAATTACTACGAGGCTTGCAGGCACCATCAGGTGCCGTCTCCCGCAGAAGCAAAGGGGAGTTGTCCGACTTGCGCAAGCAGCTTTTCCTTACTCGCGAGCAGAGCCCGCTCTTCGATACTCGCGCTTGGGTGCGTGCGTTAGAACGCGGGTATGAAGAGGCGTGGCGCCGGTGGGTGGCCGGCACCGATTCTGAAGACACGGTAGAATGGCAAGCTCTTCCCCCCGATGCCCCGGAAAAGATCAGCTCCCATATTTGGGTCCAGCCAGATTGAGCCCTGGCCAACGCACTCCTCGCTAAGGCAAATCAAGCATCACCTGCAGACATCCCTTCACATCTTCTCACATAGACACTCCATGTATGATATACGACAGAGCATAATAGCTCTTTGCATCACGAAGTCTCCATCTCCTGTATCCTCGTCACATCTTCGCAATTTGATCGCATCCGCATCAGCCTTCCTCCGCGTTTGTGCTTTGCGCCTTGCAATCCCAGCCCAGGTTCACTGTGGAATTCTGTTGTCTTGCCTAGAGTGCTTGCATGTAAAAATTACAAATGCGGCGAATGCTTGCCGCACATACAGTGGAGACAGGCTGGCCGCGAGTGTCGGAAAACCATCTGAATCCATCGAGCCATACGCGATGATGGCAATCCCTGCTTCGAGATGGAAGAGTGGAAGCAGGTAGCAAAGAACAGCGCCATGCAGCTGTTTACTTCTTCTTCGCGTCGCCTGCCTTCGCCTTCTTTGTTCCCCGAACCTTCTTCGCACGCTGTTAAACATTGATGCGCCAAAGCGCCGGGACGTCAGCGCACGTGACATACGCAGCCAATGTAGAGCGGGACTCACGTTCTTCCTCTCCTTCCTGAGCTTGCGACCAGCTTTGTCAACCTTGGTCGCCTGGCCCTTCCTGATCAGCCTGTACTTGGGCTCGAACTTCATCGAGTCCTTCGAGTCGTAGATCAATGCGAAGCCGGTTGAGCGTCCACCACCGAAGTGTGTCCTCATGCCGAAGACAACGACTTGCTCAGCAGGAGTCTTGTACATCGTGCCGAGCTTCTCCTGCAGCTCATTCCTGGACACATTGGCCCGTGCCGGGTGAATAACGTCAAGGACGCATTGCCGGCGCTGGAGAAGTGGGTTCCGGAGGAACTTGCGAGTGCGCAGAGTGATTGGTGAGTTGGAGTCCTGCAATAAGCAAAAGTCGAGTATCAGCACATGATCTTCGATACATTGACAAGTCTGCCCAGCGAACGAGGGAACCAAAAACAGTGTTCACGGCAACTGTCCGACCAAGAATCCTGCTCCTCTTCTTCACTGAGGCCACATCCCATCCAACGAGAGCATCATGTTGCCGGGGAGAGGATTTGAATCCACTCCAAGTCTTGATTCGGAGGGAGTGCGACGTTTCACACATCGTCGGTGTAGCTTCGCGATATCCTGCCCACCCTGTCCTTCAGATTGGCCGTTGCCATCTCGCCGGCTCATTCTCCCCAGGTGTTGATGTCTGAAGCACACGGCGCGAGACCCGATATGAACCTGTCCTGGTTGTGCCATCCATGGAAATTAGAAGCGCCATCACTGGTACGCTGCCAGCGTCCAGAGATAGCTCCAAGGCACAAAGATGTGCAACGCGTGCTCCTATTGCCCACTCGTGAAGCGTCCTAGCTGCATTTCGCCCCATCCTGGTCCGCCCTCCCTCTTCACCGTCACGCCCTTTTGCCTTTGTTCGGGAGCCCCACTTGCGGGTGATTTAAAACGCACCATACTGGGCAATGTGTACCGATTCGAAGGCGCGAGTCGGTTGCCGGGTGAGCTGTGGGATGACCTGAGGTGGCTCTCAAGGACGTTATTGGAGAAATGCGCGTTCGAGAAGTCAGAAGACGCAATGCTACAAGCTGGACACGAGTGAGCGGCAGGTGCCAACAGGTGGGCTGAATAAATCCGCAGCTAACTTCAACCAACCCTACTTAGGAAACAGATGGGCCGATCACCAGCCCTTGCTTTTAGTTCCGGTCAGGCCACCCGACTGGGGCCGTTTTCTAGACCTCGTTCCGCCCTCCGCCAATGGCGACTGGCGGCGTGCCGATGCCCACCATCCAGACAACGAGATAGACGAACCGCATTTCTCTCCCAAGGTCCAAGGAGGCTCCGAAGTCTGAGACCGCGTTGCTCTTGTCCTCTAGCCTATGTAGTAAGTGGTACACCCACGGTTCATAGAAAGCGCTTTACGCCGCCCGCTCTTTAGAAGCAGCAGCGTAACAACAGTAGGTGGACGGAGAACACCTGGAGATCTGCATGTTGAACGACCGCTTTACGATTCAACCCTAGCCGCCGACCCAAAGGTGTGTACAATGTCCAACATGTCTTCGGTCCTGGATCCAACGCCATCCCGCGTCGCGCCTCGCGGACGCGACCCCTCCACATCAGTTTGGTATAAGCTTGGCGTCTTCTCCGCAGCACTTTTCGCTGCCCCCCTCGCTGCGTACTATGGCGCTAAGGACCGGTATTTTGGCGGCAATTCGACGTATGCAGGTGGTCTCGCTGCAATCATCGCCAATGTCATTCTCATTGCTTACGTCGTGATGGCGTTCCTGGAAGACGATGGCAGCGGAAGCAATGACGCAAAGAAGACTGCGGGTGATAAAAAGACCGAAGTGGGGCACGAGAAGGAGACCAAGAAGGACCGCTGAGCCGGCCGTAGGAGGCTTTGCCGAAGCGTGTGTACACACGCAAGTCGCATCCATCATTCAACCTGGGCACTTGATGTTGCCCTAAAAGGCCCCGTCTTATCTTACGCATTACGGCAGCACGTGGTCGACGTGACTTAGATCCTTGTCATCCCGTACAATCTTCGGGCCTCTTTCAAATCACTGCACATCCCACCCTTTCCGCTTGGGATTTTACGTGGTTGCAAGGATGATCGCGGCTCTGCGACTCTTGTCATCGTTCAAATCTGCGTCGCAAATGATCATTTGAGCTCCTCCCTGTTCACCCACCGCTCCCATGCGAATTTCATGCAGCCGCTACTTACGGATGCTCGAAACGCTTTGTATGACGGGGCCGGTGTCTCTGCGCAGCAGACATTCGTCAACAACGCAAGACACCTGTCGGAAAAGATCGTCTGGCACAGCGGCACCAGAAAGCGCGTGCGCAACACCGCCTCTATGCGCTACTGTCATCATTGACGGCTGAGTGCTGCACTCCGCCGCAACGTCAACGCCAAACGCAGGAATCCAGTATGAGAATCCGCAACTCCCAAGTAGCATGCAAGGTCAACGGTCAATGGCTCACGGTTGAAGTTGGAGGAAGGCAGCCAGAATCGCGACACCCGCGCGTGTATTTCAACTCGAGCACTTCTTTCCGGATCGGCCGGCGATCTGATTGCACACGCTGAGCCTTTACAACGTGGTTCCTCGCGTTTTCTCCATGGATTGATCGAAGTCGAGAGATGCGACCCGGCAACGATAAAAGCGGGAGGGCATGACGCGTATTCAATCTTTGATCATACCAACTATCAGCTCTTTTGCGTGACACCAGGGTGGCGGCACCTTCAACTTCAAGCGGAAACCTCTCCTGCTGGTTGCATCTTATGACTCATCGCAGTTGGAGAGCGGCCTGCGATTCGAACAACAGAATCGCGACTTGCTCGTTGTTCTCTCTAGACAGGTTGAGATTTCGACATCGTGGGGCACATATTGGCTTTCGACGCGCGCCCACATACTTCCAGCACTGCTCAAGAAAGCTCGAACATAAACGCAATCCCCAACATCATCTCGCGAAGTCTTCCTTCCTACCATTCAAGATGAGCACATGCATGTCTTCTGATGCGTCTCGCAACAAATGCGACGCCATGTCAAGCAGCAGTGCATCCACCGATGCGCGGGAATATAAGCACAGTTGAGCACTTGACAAACAGATCCGAGACGATGAACAGAGAATGAGCAAGGAGGTCAAGCTGCTCTTTGGTGGTTTCACCAGCGATGGGGGGATTGAGGGTTGAGCACCCGCTAATCAAGTTCGTTCCTCTTATTTTCGCCCTTTGATTTCTGCCCCCGTGTCCTCACGCGCGTCATACATGTGTTGGGCAAGCTGGAAGCCTTCCAACTTAAAAGTAAGCTCGACTCACAGGTTGATCTTAAAATAGCAAAGAAGATTGTTACGAAGTTAACCTGTGCATCCTTTCAGTCCATGCGCTTGATCCATCACGTACCATTCACAGCAGCCGAGCACAGGCAGTTCTAAAGACATGTTTCCTTCAATTTAGCGGCGGCATGCGAACATGTTTGGATGCAATGGAGGAATGGTCAGGTCAGTTCGAACATCCAAAATGCGTCGTGAGTCTCGACAAATGAGAATTACATCGCGCGCCTGGGAGGTCGTTAGCCGATCGGACGTGCTGTGAACCTTCAGGAATTTCTCGGCTACTTTGTCAGCTATCCAACCATTTGGGAAGAAGAATCTTTCCCATCCAATTAATACGAGCGGCTCCGTCTCCTTTGGAATGAAAAAGGGGTACAAGCTGTGCCTGCGCGATCCAATGAAGTCGTTCTACTAGACAATCTACCTCACTACTTTGTGGACTTAAATTGACTCTTTCCACCTCTATTCAGCCCGACTGGCGCCGACATACTGAGGTGCGGGAACAAGATGACGGGCATCATCGAGGCGACTTTCTGGTCGATGACAGAATGGATCGAATCTTTGACGTCGGGGGGCAGAGAAGCGAGCGGAAACAGTGTACCCATTGCACTGAGGGCGTCACACCTACCCCCCTCCTGGTTGCCCTGAGCAGGTGCAACAGCTGCTTATGCGAAGACAAGGATTCAGTAGGTACCTCAGCATTTCAAGTGCTCTGAACGTGCGGACTTAAATGTCATTTCATTCTCGTTGGAATCAAATGCAAGCAGCGTTCATCCTCTTCGACTCGGTCTGCAACAGCAACTGGTTTACACGAAGTTTTATGATCCTATCCTCAATACTGTGGACATCTCCCGAACCAAGATTCTTCAGCACAGCGTGAAACAGTTCTTTTCAGGCTATGACGGCGACGATCGTGATTTCAGCATGACATGAACATATTTCAAAGATCGGTTCTTGCGATTGAATCGCTCATTGATACGGGAGGTCTACCCGAGCGTCACGAACGCGACTGATACATCTTTGCTCAAGGTACGCCCGCGATCGTACGACCGCACAGGGACCAACGAGAATGGGTTGGAAAGTGGAGTGTCGGCTGCCTCAACATGCTGCAGATCGTCATGACCAGCATCACCGATATCATGTTGTCTAAATGAGTCTTAAAATACCGAAGAGGGCCAGAGGTTGGAGGAACTGCCTCCGAGAACTTATCCTGACTTTGGACGCTGCTATGGCCTTTTATTTATGATTTTTTTTACCAACTTGACCTTGCCGTCCATCGACTCGCTACGCAGTGAATATGCAACAAGCACATCATGACGAGTCAATCGCCTTTACTGACTTTACGGATTTATCACCTGCAGCCGTCCTAAAGCACTATATGCGACTGCCTCCGTGATGCATTTTCTCAGCAGATCTCCAAGTCCCATCATTCGGATCAACCTCAGCATTGTATTTGTACTGCGCAGATATTAAAGGGCAATATCGACCACACCTTATTGGTGCCATCAACCCGGCATGTTTGCAACTTATAATTTCATACAAATTTGACACCCTCTCCTCCCGTGAGACCCTCTTCGCCAGCGAACACCTGGCAGCGGCCGGTTTTGGCCAGATGGGCCAGAGCTGCTCGTAGAACAGGCGTGGGCAGTTTACGATGTTCTGCTAATGCGTAGAGCAACATAACGTCAAGGGACAGCACGTCAAGAGCACCCTTCCATGAGTGGAAGACCCACCGGTCTGCTGTGCCAAGTCACCTTCTGTGAGTTCAAAGAAGGTCAAGATGCTCTTGTTCTGCCCCGTCTCTTTGACCTGAAGGTTAAAAACAGAGAAATGGGGCAAATGCTGTGTCAGCGAAACTGCCAGCTTGAACGAATGCTGAGCCTTTGCACGCACCCAGCTGTAGATCAGCTCTCCCCACTCTTCCGGCTTGCGCCAGTAGATGATAGCCCGCGTATTCTGCTCCGTTTTGCCCTTCTTGCCGCCCGTGGCGTCCCACGCCGCTGATCCTTGTCGTACGAGGCGCGCAAGGAGCGCTTTGACGAACAGGGCCGATATCCGACGATCAATCTCGCGATTATAGAATAGTTCCGAGTTCAAGTCCTCCTCCGACGCGGCATCCAGAGAGAATCGCCGCTTTGCTTGGCAGTAGTCAAGAATGAGCTTAGACCATGCCGTTTCCTGCGATTCGAGCGTCTGCGGGTTGGGTTGCGGTGTGAAGAAAGGAGGGAAAGCGTAAAGAGAGGGGAACGTGAAGTCCTCTTGCGCTGTCATCGCGCTGGAACTACCACGAAGTATTTTTAGGCGACGAGATCGCAGCGACGTCAGCAGAGCCCACATATCCTCTCTCGATGCCAAAACAACAATCACATTGAAGGACGTGCATACAGGTTGATTCCAGATTAGACTTTGCCACCGATGCCGATGGAAGCCCTGCGGCGTGGATTGCTCAGCAGGGCAATGGCAATGCAGGACGTGATAAAAGTGACAAAGCGAAAGAATGCTTGCCGCGACACTGCACGCTCCTGCTCGGTAGTGCGGGAAGAGCTGCAAGTGAACCATCGCCTGTCAGCCAAGAAATCACTGCGTCATACATTGCAAGACAAACATTCACCTGAATATGCGCCGAAGATTCGGGAGAGCCATCCGCACCTGTGGGAGCAGAGCAAAATGACTGCCCATGCGAAAAGTCCACATGGACAGGTGAGTGTCAGCGATACAGAACAGATTGACCAGATCATAAGAAGCAAGAAAGGAGAGAAGGGAATTGGAAGATTTCGGCGAGTGTTCAGCTAAAGAGGCACGAAAAAGTACGCTCAATCGTGCGACCATTCCAGGTTCCCAATGTTCATGCCTGAGCTCAGCACGGTCCTCATCCGAGAAGCGAGTCGAGCGGTGGTGACACCTTATAACTCGTCCGACGAAAAGGGGTGGGTTGATACTGCCCCAGCCACGAAGAGATTCGAGCTGCACAAATGCAACGTGCAAAAGACGTGGCGACAAGGAAAATAAGCTCCTCCTGCGCGCGAAGCTTGGCAGAAACGAAGCCCAGCTGTGCGGCTACACATGCATGTAGAAAGGCAGAGAACAGCTGAAAGATGCTTCATGTGCCGGCTGGCTTGCGCGGCTGCTTGCGTGGGAGATTTAAGTGCTGCCTGTAATGTACCGCTGAGGGCCTACGATGCGTATGACCGTTGCAGGTAACGTTGAACCCCTAAGATGAAATAAAGGCTAATGTATGCGCTTCAATAATTGCGACGTGATGAGAATTCTTGACGCAGAGGGCATGTAGGCTGCTTGAACAGCGGATCCGCACGCTTGCTCGACTTGGGCCGAAAACCCAGAAAGGGATAACGAAGAAGAACGCCTGATGTGGGTGGAGTGCGTTGAGAACTGAGCACCAGAGAAGGCGAGGGCCACAATAGGGAGATAGAGGGCCTCAAATACTTCATGGCTTTGTGTAGATCCCTGATAGAGCAGTGACTTGAATGCCAGACGTGCGTGAGAGACCTCAGAGCTTAGCTTGAGCGTATACGTTGCGAAAGTCAAGTGGAGTGGAGCTGTTGCGAAAAGTCGAGGCTTCTGTCACGAGGCTGGCCGGACTGCGACAGGTCGAGACTATCTGACACCGCAGATGTGGTACAAGTATACCGCTGGGGTAAAAAGTCGTGTCCTTGCTCGTACTTGTGTGCTTTTTCGTGGGTAATATTAGTGCTGTGCTAGGTTGGGCTGCACTTAGTTGAATGGCTGGGAGGTAAATATGCATTCTCCCTGTTGATCGCGAAGACTATCGTATGATACCAATGAGGGATGAAGGGAGGCAGTGCATGCATTCTCCCGCAGGATTCATCGGTCGACGAGAAGAGCACAGTCATGGCATCCAAGTGTGCTGTGCACTACGGTGCGGAAGCGATGGGGTGATGCGAACTGCCACTGGGTGGGGACTTCGCCTGGAGCCCAGAGTCGAGAGGCCGAAAGACTTGCGAACCGAGTGCCCAAAGAGAATGCAGGCCAAATGAAAGCGCCAAAGGATGGATGCCGTAAGGTTGCAAAAGAAGGAACGAAAAACAAGGCAATGCCCTAGGATGCTCAACAGTGCCGAGTGCAGCATTGACCACCCTCACTCCATCCAGCAGGCTGAATGGAGCGACCCGTCCTACCCTCGACATCCCAGGTCCTGACAGCTGGCCGCAGCACGTACTTCAATGTAGCAGCGCAAACTGAGCAAGGATAGGGAGAAAGGCAGGTATCGAAGGGCCAAAACAAGCGCACGGATGCAATGCACGACGGATGCGCGAGCAGGGCGGATGGGCATGCCAAAGGAGGAAAAGGGTCGAATCCAGAACCAACGCCGCAACTCACCTTCTTTACTGCAGCTTGCTGGGCTCGTGGAGTGGATGCCTTCTTTCTTCCCCAAAGGAGATGGAGGTCGCCAGGTCTTTATGATGAGAGCGGGGGAGGATGCATGATGGTGGTGGCGGTGCACCAGGTTTGTCTTTATGCACGCGATGAACTGAGGGAATGCGTGCTGCGCAGCGCGATTCGTTTCTCTGCTGTTCCGCCCCGAATCGAGAGGTCGACGGGCGAGTGTCTACTAGTGGCGGCCAAGGGGAGAGAGTATATTCTTGATTCGGCTGCAGGCAGTCAACCAACGGCCAGTGACATCCTCTCTTCGTCACCATCACCCCGAGTCGTCTACAAGGTTTGTTGGCTATCAACACTCAAGTGGCCAGCGCGCTCATATCGTACAGGCGTGGTCTCCGCCGACCGAGACGCAACATGATCGCCTCCTCGTTGTCAGCTTGCCTAGGCCTCGCCACCGCCAGCCGCAGTGCGCCGGCAGTGCGCGCCCTAAGCACAACGTCGTCCGCCTTGCGACCATCTGGTGACGTCCTGCGTCCTCGCACAGCGCCATCCAACGCTGGCCTGCCCGCCAGTGTAGCGCGTGATCGTCGTCCTGCGGTGGCGGAGCCGCATACTCCGCCGACTGTACCAGAGGAGCAGGCGCCAAACTACCGGTCCACCTGGTCCGTCGGGCAGAGCCCGCGTGAGAACGCGATGCGCGGCCCTCGGTTCGAACAGACCAAGATGGAGTTCCAGCCACAGCCGCTCAGCGCTATGGAGATGATCCAGAGGGAACCGATCCGCCTGGTCACCTCACGTGTTGCCTCCTGTGACGGAGGTGCGTTACTCACTCTCCTTAGCCTCGTTTCATCGGATAGGAATGGAAGAAACTTCGGGGAGGACCTGACATTTGGCATACTCTATCTTTGTTTTAATGTAGGAAAAGGCCCGCTTGGACACCCAAAGGTGTTTATCAACCTCGACAAGCCGGGCGCCAAGAGCTGTTCATACTGGTGCGTTGAGCGTGGCTTTGCGATCAAGCAAGCCAAAGGGCTTTCACGCTGATTGCAACTTTTTATGTTCGCTCTCTCAGTGGCATCCGCTTTGAGCTTGACCACTCGCACGCCGGGCACGGCCACTGAGTGTATGCTATCAGAGACGATGAATTCAAGGTTTTACGAGATCTCTCCTGCGAATAGCCTCTATTCGAATTCATCGTCCTTGCGCGGCTCGAGAATGCGAATTTCAGCTTCTATGGCTCCACTCCGCACTCTTCCTGAATGACCTTTCTAATCGCGACTTCAACATCGTCCACGATGAGCGTTGGCTCATGCTCCGGCCGACCGAGTGCATCTCTATAGACTCCAGTCCTGACCAGCGCTGACTTCCATCCGAATGCATTAGCTCCTGCAATGTCGGATGCAGGGTTGTCACCGATCATCCACACTGATGCTGGTGCTGGAGGAGTCTGTTGCGGGTCAGAGGACAGCCGTGCGAGCCGTTCTTGCAGCAGCGCATCGGCAAACTCATACGTCAGTCTGCAGGGTTTGCCAAAAGCTATTGATTCGAGTGGTCTCCCAGTTGTTTGCTAAAAGAAAGCGAAGAGGCGCGAAACTGGATACGTGAGCCACGGGCTTGCAGAGATAGCGCAGTGGAAGGGGTTGCTTACCAGCCACACGTTCTCCACTGCTGCTCGGAATGCTCCTTGCCCGAATCTCGAGACTGAGAAGTCGTTGCCCCAAAGCAGATCGTTGTGTGAGAAATATAGCGGGAGCTGTTTCCTCCCTCCGCTCTTGCCGCTGTTGCTAATGCTCCAGTAATCATCGACAGTGCCGAATCGCCCGTCTTGAGAGCGCAGGACGTCGATCATGAGTTGCGCATCTCGGCCCCAATCGCGCGAGTCATGAAAGACCATCACAGCAGCGAAGCAAACCTGCGAGAAGTCGGCGTCCTGGGTAATGAATAGTGAGCCGATCGAGACCAAGCATCGATACAAGTCAGCTCGAAAGACTCGACAGAACGATGCCGTGAACGAAGAAATAGTGGCTCAAGTGTACATACACGGATCTCGACCTTGGAGCTGTCCGGCGGGCGGATGAAAGGCCATGCAGCAGGCGCCGAAGCGTGTAGGTCATTGGCGGTGTACACATCCTGGAAGCCATATCTATTATTGTTGCACAGGCAACACGCACGTCGGATAGATCAGCTGCATGTCTTTTAGCGCATGCCATAGGCGATTGCGTGGGATGGGGAACAGCAAGTTAAACCCACTTCTTCATAATCCTTCGCGATGAATTCGGCCCAATGACCAGCACCGACTTGTTTGCATACAACTTTGTCAAGCTAGCGAGCACCGTGTGTGCTTGTATCACTTGATCCTCCTGCACGTCTACTTCAAGCTCGGCGCTAAATTGGCGTGCACGATCCGCTTCGTCATAGCCTCCACTATTGGTAATGAACAGGTAAGGGAAGCGCCGGCCGAGCGAGTTGGCGCCATCGAGGATGCGCAGAGCGCGCTTGGCGCATGGTAAGACGTGCGGGCCGGCTTTCAGGACGCCGTCGATGTCAAACGCGAATGCCAAAGGACGAGAAGGGATGCTTATGCTTGCGTTCGACCTTGGACTGGCACTACCGGCTGCGACCGAGGACGAGAAGCATCGACCCCACTGCGACACCGAGGAGGGCAGGTTCTCAAGGCCGAACAGCGGCTGGACGAGGCCCCGACATAAGCCACGAGCAGTCATTTTCTAAACGTGCACAGAGCTGCCGCTGACCACCTTGCTGGGCGCTTGGATTGACCCGATGATCGACGTTTGCGCCATCTGACTGAGCCAGTATGTGTGTACCATCGGCCAAGTCGACAGCAGTGTGGAAGGTCAGCTGTTGCTTGCTCGTTGGCCACACCCTGCATCTGGGTCCCAGCACTGGGCCTGGGCATATTGCACCGAATATAAGGCCCTTTCAAGTAGTAGCTCCAATCTACATATGCGTGCATACGACTTATCTCCTGGCTATCTGACGGAGCCACCAGGATGGACATGGGACTGACCCAGTGCCCTTACGCCAGTACCCGACTCTCACTCTCACTTTTGCGATCGCCTCTGCTCAGGGACCTCCTGCAACGGCGCCGCACGGACTAGTGACCCGTGTCGGCACTGCGGCGGTGTTGAGACGTCCAGCGACGCCAGGACGTGTCCAGGCAAGAAACCGCGTGTCGCATGCGTACACCCTTGTCCAGTCATCCACGCGTAACTGACCGCTTTTTAATATATTTTACTGATGATCCCTTCTCTAGTGTCTCTTGGAACTCGTCTTCATGGCATTACTCTTTGGTACCGATGACTTACGGCTGAGACGGTGCATGGGGCGATTATTACAGGCATCGTCACCTATCGCTCGTTACTGCTTATCTCCCCAGTTCATATTTTAATAACCATCGCCCATTCTCGTCCGACCTTCTCTTCATCTGCTCCTCATTTCCGAGAGCCCCAATATATCTTAAGGCCACCCGCCTCACCAGGCTGGCTCCGGCTACCCTTGACCCTCACCTTCCGTTCCTATCTGGACAATGTACACCCAGTTCCTCTCTCTCTTCGCCGCCATCGCCGCAGCGTCGGTGACGGTGGCTTGCCCCGGCCTCGACCACGAGCATAGCCTCGCGCCCCGGTCTCAGCGCGGTGCAACGCAGCCCAATGGTGGTAAGAGCCTTGTTCGCCCGCTTACCTGGGGCCAGGTTCAGGTTTTGCACACCACCGATATCCACGGATGGTACCAGGTGCGCCGTCGGTGTCACCGCTCCCCCATATTGGCTGAACATCAGTCGCTGACCTCGTGCATGCGACTCTGCTAACCCGAACACGTCGTTTGCGAGCAGGGTCACCTCAAAGCCAGCGAGCCGGAGCCAAACTACTCGGCCGACTGGGGCGACTTTGCTAGCTTTGTCTCCCATATGCGAAAGCTCGCGAAGAAGAAGGGCGCCGACCTCCTCGTCGTCGACACGGGCGGTAAGTCTGGTTGTCGAGCTTTCGAGTATAAACTGCCTGATGGTGGAACGCCGAGGCTGACTATTAAAATTATCACGTTCGTGGACAGACTTGCACGATGGAGCCGGTCTGAGTGATGCAGCAAGGCCAGTCGCCGGCCACGACTCAGACAATTTCCACTCGTTGATCCAATACGATGTACTCAGTGTTGGCAACCACGAGCTGTACAATTACACCATCGCTCACGACACGTACCAGTATTTCCGCCCCGCTCAGCGCAAGGACGGCACCAACCGCTACCTCGCTTCCAATGTCAACATCACCCTGCCTGGTGCGACATCTTCCGTACCCATGGGCGAGCGCTTCGTCAAGTTCAAGACAGACCTGGGACGCCGGGTGACGGCGCTAGGAGTCCTGTTCGACTTTACGGGTCAGGACAAGAACCTCTATGTCCAAAAGGTGGACGACATGGTGAAGGAACGGTGGTTTGACGATGCTATCACCGAAGAGCCCGACTTCTTTCTGCTCGCGGGCCACCTTCCCGTCCGAAAAGACAAGTGGCCGGTCGTCATCAACGCCGTACGTGCCAAGCACCCAGACACGCCCATCCTCGTCCTCGGCGGACACACCCACATTCGCGATTGCATGACATACGACAGCAACGCCGTCGGAATCGAGAGCGGACGGTACCTCGAGACAATTGGCTGGCTCGCTGTCAACTCGTCAAGCTTCCACGACCACAAGCATCATGGCCATGCGCACCAATACCATCATCGCCAGCACAAGTTCGAGCGTCGCGACGACAGCGCGCAGGCTGCCACTTCGAGCAATTCCACGACAGTCACCTTCTCTCGCTCGTACATCGACGCCAACAGGCGCAACTACGCCATCCACGCGGGCCTCACGTCTACCTCCAAGCTCGACACGCCGACCGGCCGCCAGATATCAAAGCGTCTGCAAAAGCTAGCGGACAGGCTGAATCTGTCGCACGTCTTTGGTGTTGCGCCGCATGACTACTACCTCGACCGTGTCGCGCCTTCGGACCCCGATTCGCTGCTCAACCTGCTAACGAACAAGGTTTTGCCGACAGTCATCAGCACCAGCAACCCGGAAAGGCAGGGCACGCCGTCCATCGTGCTCGCCAACTCTGGCTCGCAGCGCTTCGATGTCGTGAGTGCTTGTGAAGCGATGTCACCATGCTATTGGGGGTTCAGCAGCTGAAGTTTATCTTTCTTCTTGCGCATTGTCGTCCACAGTACAGCGGCAACCTTACGCGCAATGATCAGTACATCGTCAGCCCTTTCCTGGAGTAAGTCGATCGCCGTAGAACTCAATTTCTTAAAGTCTCGTCCTTTACTAATTCATGATATATTTTGCTCGTTTGCCACCCGTTCCCATCTGCAGCGCTTTTCTGTACATCAAGGACGTGCAATACCAGTACGCAAAACAGATTGTTGACCAGCTGAACAAGGCTGGCGCTTACCGACGAAGCGAGACCTACGACACCGATGCCGAGAAGTACGCGCGCGGCGAGGTGGACCACATCTACACTGCCTGGCGCCGCGCGCAATCCGTCGCCAGCGTTGACGAGCGGCGCCACCTCGCCGAGTTGGACGCGCACGCCGATGCACAGCAGGCAGCCACTGCTACGCTCGGCTATGTGACGAAGGACGACTGCCCTGGCCAAGGCGACGACACGGTGCACACAGCCATCCCGTACGCGCTGCAGCCAGACTACATCCAGTCACCACCGACGGGCAACTTGACCGTGCTGTCGGACAGCAGCCCGGTCGACGTCGTCTTTGTCGACTTTATCCAGTCCAGCGTTATATCTATCCTCAACTCGCTGCAGAAGGACAAGACGTACTCGACGGCCGACGTGAGCGTTTACAACTCGCTCACGACCCAAGATTTGTATCCAAAGTATGCCGAGAAGGCTTGGAACTGATCCTAGCCGATCCGTTTGCGGCGTGGCGCAGTCCCTTTCGTGTGCACAGCTCAATATGCTCAAGCCCTGCTATGTTTTTATACCTGCTCGTATTAAAAACGCTCTCTGTTTGCAATGCATCTGGCTTGATGTGCTCGAACACGAATACGATAGGCAGATAGCTTCTGTACACATTTTGGCCAAAGATCGAAGACAGATGCCGCGGGTAAAGTGCCAGGAAACTGGAACAAGGCTGAATATAGACGCCATTGCTTGCGATTGACAACTGCGGGATTGAAGTCAAGGCTGATGTCCATCATCCATGTAACCCAGCTGCTGTGCGGCACATCTCTAGAATCTACGCAAACATCAGAGATACACATGAGTCCCTGAAAATCGAACCTATAGCAAACTGAACTTAGGGTTGAGGACCCACCTTTTTTGGGTTGGCTTCCGATGGTCTCCCCCAACGTTTGGCGGTGGTGCTCTTTCTCCGCTTGGACCAGTCCAGAGGTCGGGCGGTCGAGCGGAAGAGGACAAGGCGCGTGTATGGACGCCTGAGTGGGGCGGGCATGGCACGAGTGTCATTTTTTGCAGCTCAATCTCAACGCACCAACCCCACGCGAACTCACACAGGGAGAGCCTCCTCTGGACCTGGGATGGGTGTCACGAGGTGGCTTCTTCTGATATACAGAATCTCATCCAGCTTTTGGACGCAAACAGTACCGCCATTTGGTCAATTTATCTCCAGCGTGTGATCGTGATTCGTAGCTCCATCCTCCTTGTATAAGCTCCTCATCCAGCGTCCTCATCGGGATCAAAAGGCCGCCTCACCATCGCTGCACACGTTTCTTCGTAAGTCTTTCACCACCTTCACTTCGCCCTTTCTCGTGAGCAACTCGATTTACCGTTATATCACGTCTTTGCATCCTGTGATTTTCCGCGTAGAAAAGCATATTCAAAATGGCGCCTCCTACCCAGAAAGGATTCTCCTGGTCCAACATTGCCGTTGGTGCGGTCATGAACATGTTCGAGGTAGGTTTCTGTGCGCAGCCGAACGGCCGACTCAGGTTCCTTGCTGTTTCCAGGTGCTGCTAGCTTACCTCGCAATCTTCCTAATCTGCACTCTTTCTTTACCGTTGCAGGTGACCACCCTCGGACAGCCGCTCGAGGTTATCAAGACCCAGATGGCTTCAAACCGGCAGCAGCCCATGGCGCAGGCGCTTCGAACTGTTTGGTCGCGTGGTGGTGTCTTGGGATTCTACCAGGGTCTAATTCCGTGGGTGCGTTTTCGTATGTGGTGTGGATGCGAAGGCTTTCCTTTCTTCTCAAACGAGGCGCAAGGGGAGGCGGACCCCAAACGGAGGGCACTATTCTCCCCCAAAAATACAAATACAACTTTCGACAATTTCCAATGTCCAGCTTGATCTGACTGGTCTGATACTTGCCACTTGCAGGCATGGATCGAGGCCTCGACGAAGGGAGGGGTGCTCATGTTCACCTCCGCGGAGATTCAAAAAGTCGCCAAGGGCTCAGGCATGAGCCCTGCGACAGCAGGCCTGATTGGCGGTGTCGGAGGCGGCATCGCGCAGGCATACGCGACGATGGGATTCTGCACATGCATGAAGACTGCTGAAATTACGCGTCACAAAGTCGCCGAAGCCGGCGTCAAGCCGCCAAACACTTGGGCCGTCTTTGGCGACATATACCGCCGCGAGGGTATTCGCGGAATTAACAAGGGCGTCAACGCAGTAGCATTGCGACAGGCGACAAATTGGGGTAGCAGGTACGTGTCCCATCTTACGCTTGTCTCAAGCTGACTGTACGCGTGGTGCCTTCAGAGACTGACACGTCTCTTTGTGATAACGCGGAAACCTTCCACCTGGGTAGAATGGGTTTCGCGCGTCTGGCGGAGGCACCGATCAGGAAGTTGTCTGGCAAGGGCGAGACTGACAAATTGGGTGCATTGGAGCGGATTGCATGCTCTACTATCGGTGGAGCCCTGGGATGCATCAACCAGCCGATCGGTGCGTGGTGCTCACGCTCTTTCGCTTGTGTGCAACGCGACTGATATCTTTTTCTTTAATGGAACAACAATTTTGGCTTGCTCGTAGAGGTAGTTCGTGTTGAGGTAAGCGAATCAGTCATTGGATTCGACACGCGAGCAATCCGGATCGCTGACCGATTGTCGTCGCTTTCTACTTCACCGTTGCTTTTGCAGATGCAATCCATGGCCAAGGGCGCCGCAGTGCGCACCGAGAAGCCGACAGTTATGAACACACTGTCCTATGTCTACAAGCAAAACGGCCTCAAGGGTCTCTACCGAGGTACCACCCCACGCATCTTCCTCGGTGTCTGGCAGACGGTCAGTCGCCCTGCGCTGTTTGCAATATTCGATTTCTTGCCTTGAGATTGATCAGCCCCTCCCTTTCCTCATTTCATTACTGATCTGGTCCCTCGAATATAGATCTGCATGGTATCATTTGCCGACTACGTCAGGGAATTCCTTGACGCTTCCCCCACGAAGACCGCATAAAGCCGCGCGTAGAGAGGAATGTGATTTGCCGCCGACGAGGCAGCCTACGTCGAACGCAGGACCAGGAGAGCGTGCGTCCCGTGATCGTGGCCCTTCGCGTTTCATCCTTCCAGAAAGACTTACCTGGCGCGTTAGCCGACGACCGGATGCCGCTGCGGGCTGACCGGATAGCCGGCGACGACGGAAGATGAAGGACGGAGATGAAGAGCAGAACAGGACAACTAGACTATCAAGAATTTGTATGCGGGCGGGCATCCTGTACTTTTTTCCGTTGCAAATTGTTTCAAGTGCACTGGGTCTCTGTTCTCATATCGGCCCATCAGCTGATCTTCGTCTATCGCACGACCCGAGCCGCTGAGGCGAGTCGGCCAGCTCGTGACTTGCATGTACGAGGCCGAAATAGGCTGTAAGGCTTGCTTGAGTGTGTAAGAGGTTTTGTTTGATCGCGGACGCGTCAGCAGCGAGCGAGTCCAGTTTGGAAGTGACGAGCGCTCCTGATCAGTGTGAACCATGTGGCGCTTGCAGTGCAACTGCATGCACAACTTACGTACGGGCACATGGGGACTCTTGGTACAGAGTATGTGTATTATGTACGTATGAGACAGTTGCGTCGCGCGCGTTCTGCGTAGATACTAGACTAACCAACACCAGTCGTCGACCGAGTCGCGTATCTTCAGCTGTCCAAAAGCCAAAAGCAGATGCGTCCCTTTTTATCGGCTCTCCTGTCCATTTCCGCACCAGTCGGTGATGAGTAGCATGTAATGTTGTCCAGAAAACGACAGAGAGTAGGCCAGCAAGCTGATGGTACAGACCACAACTCGCGCACAACAGAGAGAAACTGGCGTGTCGCAAGCTGATCGACTGTGCACAGAGAAGATTTTCACAGGGCTAGCGGCCAGTCGACGAAGACATCAAGTCATTGACTGCACCCGCGTCGTCCCTTGCATTTCAGATTCGAGCTATTGCATTCGATTTCCACCTGTTCCCACAAGGTTGGACGTATGGTGTGCGTGATACGCCTGCGTAATAGGTCTGAATCTGTTGCCCGTCAATGACCGAGTCACCTTGGCTCATGTTGAGGTCACTGGCCATCTAGACTAATGAGTGACTGTCTTACGGACCGACTGAACTGTCATCGACTAATGAAGTACATTCCCTAATTCCTTTGATAGCTTTACGAGTGCGTATAGCACAAACGTTAGAAGGAGAAACGAGGTATAAAAGGAGACCACCCAGGACCTCAAAGGGATATTTTCGTCAGACAACACATTCACAGAAACATCATCTTCTCTTTGACATCCAAGCAATCCATACACGCAAGTGATCCTCGCTGCAAGCCATCCCGCGAAATCCCAAAAACAAGACATTTAACTCAAAACAAAGCAAACATGAAGGGATCTCTTCTTACCCTCGTCGTCCTCTCGGCAGCGCTGGTCGCTGCGGCCCCCCAAGCAGTCCCAACCCTGCCTCGCGTTTCAGCCCCTACATTCGCGTCCTCCACATCTTCATGGCACAGACCGCAATCATCGCAGAGGGTGTCTGACCATTCGAACCAAGGCTCGAACTCAAACACAGACAGAGCGGCGAACGGCTCGGGCAACCAGAACAACAATGGCCCAGAATACGTCATGGTCCCGGCTGGTACTACTACCGAATGGGGTCAAATCGCAGCTGCTGCACCTACCTCGGCCTCGAATATGACCGGCGGCATGGCCATTAATGGCACGAACTTCACGCCCTATGCTGTCCTTCCGGTATCCAAATCCAATGGTGCCCTCGGCACTGTCGGACAACAATCCATCTTGGCAGGCTCCTTTGCTTTAGCTGGCGCCGTTTTCCTGCTTTAACGAAGGGTGAAGACACTCTCAACAAGACCTGTCACGCTCAATTTCGAGCAGACCTGCACCATTTGATTCATTGCACCCAACACATGTGTTGTACCTCTACCTTACTGTATTTATACGCTCAATGCGATGTACCGATCCCGAACTTTGTCCGGAATATCTACAGAACTTCTTGCAACTGCGATGGAAAAAGTTGCTCCGCACCAATCTCCATACGCGCGCATGGCGTTGGTGACTTTAAAAAACCGGCAATATTTGGACCAGCTACCAAGCTTGGCACGTCTGAGGCAACCGACTAGTACACGGTGGGGTGGGCGGCACCCTCCTTAGCGCACACATCAAAGACAGCCTTCATGATGTCCTGGAGTTTGGCATTGACCTCGTCCCGGGTGACCTGTAAGCGAGCTGAATTCCGTGTCATCTCGAGACCGCTGACAGCGACGCCGCCCGCATTGCCCTCCTTGCCCGGACCATACCAACATCTTTGCCTTCTCTTGTCGATGCGCGAATGTTCGAAAATATTGATTACCTGGAGGTTGCAAGGAGTGTTGTCCCCCTCGCCCACGTAGCGGCAGCCACGCGCGGGCATCTCATTGGCGTCCGAACCATCCACCTCATTCTGCATAGTGCAGGGAAACGTCATCTATCTTTAAAAGCTTCCACGGCTGGGCCACACTGCTGTGCCACTGGAACTTACCGCCCTTGTTGCCGAGCTTGCTGAGCTCGTCACGGTTGCTCTTGATCGCGACAACCACTTCAATCCATTCCTTCTGCCAGCTTGCCTTATCACGGGAAATGAGCGCACCCTTTGATTCGCCCAGGCTCAGGACTGTGTCACCCAGCTCGATCACTTTGAGCGCGGCAAACTGCGCAACTTGACCGGAACCTGAAATAGCAACCTTCTTTCCCTTGAAAGGTGTACCATCACATTCGCTATGGGTCATCATGTGCTCCACAAAGTACCTGCGAAGTAGAAGATATTTAGCAAGTTGCGCGGAACATCGCGCGTAAGGTAGTTCACCAGGTGCCGTAGTCGGTTACTCAGGGCCTGACTTGCGAACCTCCCCAAGCCCAAGCCCTTGTTCCGTTGTCAAAGGCGAACAACCGTGCATGAGCAATCAGTACCAATGGGACTGGTAGCAAATTGGACACACGGTGGTAACGCCATGTCACTCGTTTTGACGCTTTTTGCGCTTTCCAAAGAAGTAGCCACCCTCCCTAGCGGAGAAGCCAATATCTCCTGCGGGAACATCTATGTCGACGTCGATGTGGCGCTACAGGTCTGTTGCGAAGCCCTGGATAAAGCGACGAACTTCTGCGTCACGCTTTCCGTATGGCGAGAAATTCGAGCCGGATTTGCCTGCGCCAATGTTCAAACCAGTGAGAGCATTCTTGAAGATTTGCTCAAACTCGAGAAGCTTCAGCACACTGAAGTTCACCTTGTTAGCGCCACATCAAATGACCCATCAGCGGCTCTTCAACATCGGACAGCGCTGGGTGTGGCAAGGCTCAGCACCTACGATTCGTGCAGGCGCAGACCGCCTTTGTAAACACCGAGCACTGAGTTGTGTTGGACTCGGCAGCTGCGGGTGGCCTGCCACTCACCCTTGTCGTTCTCCCACACAACACGGAACTGGATGACCCGTTCCAGGACAGTGGTGATGCTCAAAGCACACTCCTACTCGGGCTTCTTGGGCGAAGAGTGGTTCGAGAGTAGAGGCTACTTCCGAATACGCCTCTTTGCACCGGATTATCATCACGATATTGAATCATCTGGTTGTGCAGGGTTTCCGCATACCGTAAAACAGCTCGAATTCCGACTCCTTGGGAAGGTTCGACATGTTTTCTTTCGCTGTTCTGTATGCTTCAACAGAGGGGTCCGGACGACAATGACAGGGGAAATAGAGCCAGTCAATCGTTGATCCAAACGCACACATACAAGTACAGCGTCGATTAATGGCGTAATCATGTGCAACTTTGAGCCACACGACCGGCACAATCAAAAGGAGGGATGAGGAAGAGCACAATGCTCCGGGGCCAGTTGCACAACTGTTGTACTATCTATGCTCGGCTCGTTCAGTCTCGAGCCTGAGGCGGCCAAACGGGCTTCGACCAGCCGAGTGAGAGCGTGTGGACTTAGATCGATCAAACGATCACGAAAACGTCCAGATCCTAGACTGCAGCTTGCGGAAGCCCCGAACCCTTCGCGAATGTGACTCAAAGCAGCCACCAGCACCTCCGTCTTTTCTCTCACAAGTTCTGATGCTTGTTTTCTCCTTATCTATTGAGCCGAACCTTTTAACGCAAGTCTTAACACCGACTCCGATCTTATCTTTCTCTCGCACGAGAAAGTTAGCACAAGGATCTCAACACGTCACACCCAACCCCAGGTCTCATGTGGACCCCATGTGTTCCCGTTAATATTCGAAGTTGCTTTTAGTCTCAGGTCGCATCTGCCAAGGGGAGGTCGATGACGACTTTTGTTGCTGGTGGGACAGTGGTGAGTAGTGAGTTGGTAGTGGGTGGAGTTGGGTCATATGGGCTATGACAAGTCCGGTGCCGTCGACTCTGTCTGGAGGACCCGGACTGGGCGATGGCCTTCAGGTGGTTGGTACGGGTTACAGCATGCCACTACCATACCAAAGGTGAATTGCGATGAAAAACCCAGTGTGTAGGCGGTGGCGCGCTCACATAGCAGCTAGAACCCAGGCTCTAGGGTCATCAGGGCTTCAAGCTTTAAACTTCAGATTTCAATGTGTATGGTAGTACTGACTATGACAGTAAGACTCAACTCCGAATCTTGCGGATTTTGGTATCTGTATGTTATTTCAGCTCACATGCACGCTTTATACTTGTGGCTTTGCCCTTTTGGCGCAAAGTGTGGACTGTGGAGCCTGGAAGTGAGCATGTCCATGCCACGCATGCCGTTGCAAGTTGGGAGCATTATCCCTCGACCTTCGAAGCTGTGTTGTGATAACGTCGAGAAGGCTATAGGTCCTTTTCTCTTATGTACATACATACTCATATGTGAGAGTACCCGAAAACCACCAATGTGTGCCTGAGTCTGCCATAGCCTGAGCCCTGCTGTAACTGTGGCCACAAGGCAACAAGCTGTAATTCGAGACGATTCAGATGAATGTGAGCGTATTTGAGTCAACGTCGGGCAGAATGGGTGTGCTCATGAGAGTAGTGCGTCTGACCAAGTCCAAGACACCCCTCCCTCCTGGCATACTTATAACAACGATGTGGGAAATGCACAGTCGACACTTGGCACTCAACGCTAGTTCGGCACTTGACAGCGTTGACACCGTGCACGACACAAACTAGCGTACATCGTTACAGGTGAAAAGGGGAGGTAATCTAATGCCTCGAAAAGAAACTACTCGCAGATTGCATGTAAAATAAGCTTCGAGTTCTGACATCTGGCCTCCCTTTTATAACCGTTCTCTAGTACCCACATTCAGTAAAGCAGGTCTCTGCGACCCCTCGTCCACAATTGCTTTCGACACCAACAACCTTGATGCACGAGAGTGTACAGCCCTTTCAAGACGGAAGGTGCTGACGGGCAAGTCCCTCAGACCACCGAGTGCTCAAGATGGCTTCAAAGGATTTGACTTGGCTGGTCACCCAATTATGGAGTTAGGTTGTGGCCAAGGTGACCGCACAACGCCACTTGGTTGAGCAATGCAATTGGCCGGAGAGGGAAAAGGAGAGGGCCGGGTGGACAGTGTCGACCCGGGTGGTGGGTAGCTTCTGAGGCGGCGACGCCACGTTTCATGGTTGCTGATCCGGCTTATGCTTGTTTTGGTGTAGGTCGGACTATGGGTCGCCGTAAACGCTCTCCCAAACGCAAGCCTCCATTGCCGAATGGCCTCTCAAAGGCGCCGTATGTTTCGCCAATGCAGACGGGCGGACATTCTTGGACTCGGCAAAACTCGAAACTGCCCGCCCCAATTGACATGCGCGTAATGCCCCTCTGCATCTATTACCTTCCAGCTCACGAGGCACGACATGAGATCTTCGCAAGTTGCGTAAAGCATGGCGTCAAGTGTCTTCTGCTTGCCAGAGGGGTTGCTAGGGGCTTCCTGCCTTGAATCTTTGCCGCACGTGCTCGCTGTCCTCACGCAAGATGTGCACCCCATATATGGGGGAAACAACCCCACCATGTTCACCCCAGCTGCAATTATCGACGCGGTTCCGCAATGCGGCCGCAGAATCGTACATCCAAAGGATGTCCCGAGCCCCAAGGTGCAGGACGGCATCTGAGTGTACGACATGACCATGTCGCACGTCATGGAGACGCTAGAGAAAGCAGAAACGGGCCAAGAGCAGAGGATCATAGAATCAGAGCCTCAAGATCATTCTCGACTCTATACAAGCGGCTATGCCGAGAGGCACCAAAAGAACAACAAATGCATGTACATTTGGACCAGCCTTTTCGAGCTGCAAGGCTAAGCAAATAGAGAGCGTTGCCGTCAAGGTCCAAAAAGGACAGGAGCATGGACAATGGTCATTCACATTAGAAGTATCGAATAGAATCCAAAAGGGGATATTCGAATTTTTATTCTTATTATGCAACAGTCATCTTTCAATGATCTGAACTGCTCCAATGAGTGCCCACGGGGGCAAAATGCAAGCGAGGTGTGTATTCAGGGATATACAATATTTACCAATTAACATGGACCAAAAATGATGCTGAGGATTCTTAAACGAAACCTAACAGATTCTCACGAGATTCGCTATCCCTCCAGGTGCCATCAGCACGCTGCCACCGTGCACCAGAAAATGATTTTTGAACTCCGCTCTCGCGAGGCGGAGGCATTGCAGCTGGCCATAGTGTGAATGTTGCTGTTGTAGGTGTAAGGATAGCAACAGACTCAATGCGAGTCCCATAACCCTCGTTGCTGTCGTCATCGTTCATCATAGGGGCCCGGTGCAATCAGCGGCCGTGGAAGACAGGACTTGGTCGATCACTGTGGTGATATGCACGCCTCCATCGGCTTCGCGGAGACGACGCACTTTCTTGATGATGGCATTGACGATCGGCTTTGCCAATGTGGTCGGGGGAGCAGCAGTGTTTGCTTGTCGATCTCCTTGGTCATCCTGCTATCCATTTCGAGGACCAGCTCACGAGCGATACTGCAATGAGGAGAGCCATCGTAATGTCAACGGGAATTCAATCTTTCCGTGCAAGGGCCTTGATTCCGACTGCACCTCGGACGCATCATGAGCGTAGCAATGAGGGAGTTTCCGTAAAGGGCACCAACGCGGAGCCAAGGAAAGAGATAGTGGTTTCGAATTAAGCGAGCTGTAATCAGAAGATTTGGATATCATATTTAGCGCTGCCTACAAGTTTTGGGGTGCCGCCAAGACGAGAATCATGGATGCGATTGAGTCTTTGAGGGCATCCTAGGCGTCAGCAGTAGTACTGCTTGCAGGTGTGAGATCGACTCACATCCAGCGATGATCAAGCAGGTTTCATGGAACATGAGGATTAATTTGGCCACTGCATTTCGCGTATGAAAAGAATAGCATGTAGCAATAATGACAACGAGGTCAGTGAACACCGTTGAAAGCGCCCGTAGCATACACCTGGCAAGACCGCTGACAGACGTCTTGATCTGAGCCAATTGTCTGCAAAGCATAGCGAAATGAGAGACGTGGATGACAGCATTCGACACGGTTCATGTGGCAAAGACGTCTGGAAAGGTACCCGTAGTTTCTGGACCCTTGCATGAAACTGTTCAACGCTGCACCTTTGGCATTGAGAGCCGATCCTGTTGCCAGCTCAAGCGCGGCTGAAGCAACGCAGCCGCCGACTGTGTAGTCGAGAAGCGGCGTATAAGAGGCCAAGCCCTAACTTGCCCTCCTGTAGGCGTTCCAAGCCTTGTGGGCGAAGTAGGTTGCAAGAACATGCTTTCAGCGCCGAGATAGACGGTCGTCTACCCGGTTTCCGGCGAGGAGTCTTGTCTTGTGTTGAGCAATCGCGCTGCTGATCCCAATGCAGATGTAAGAGACGCCCAATTCCTACCCGAACGTTCTGTACGGAGGGCCCGCAATTTATGCGTGAGCTGCGTGTCACATGCCTTAACGAACATCACGGTTGTTGCTTACAGGATGGGGAAGTTAAAGTCTCTGCAATCATGGAGGGCGCCCCAATCGAAGTATCGGTGTAACGGCTCGCATAGTTGTCACCAAAAGCACTTACCCAAAGTGGCCTATGTGGACCGTATATAAACTGTGATTGAGCACGGTGACCTACAGGATAGTCACGACCGGGATCGTAAAGAAACCAACCCTTGATGATCCGTTTGTCGGCATCTACCCGGTTGAAAGAACCGGAGCCAGACCAAATCAGTGCAAGAAAAAAATCCTGCAAGGATGTCCCTTTCGGCCAGAAGCAGAAATTCAAAGAGCAGCGAATGGGCGCACTGGCAGTCAGAGGGTTGAATCGGGTTCCAAAAAAGAGACCCGAGACCAGATGTCCAAAGCCTGTGAAACAAGCAGAGACCGTCAGATGGCAAAGCTCGGGATTGTGGATCGGGTAACGCCGTCGGCGTCTCAACATATCTTGTCGTTGGCCCAGGTCTACCGTCCTCGCCAAGCCTCATGCTAATGGTGGTGCCGGCAGCAGCGGTTGAATCCGGTGCGGATCCCGCTCATCCTCCTTGGACCCTGACGGTGGCGGTAACGGCGGTAACAATGACCAGACGACTGAGGAAGGGCATCTTGATGGATGTAGATAGGGGAACGAAGAAACAGGGATGGGTCTACCAACGGCAATGGAAGCTTCGGTCAAGACCTGCGCTGCGCACCGGTCGGTGCAGAGCCTGTTAACCACCAATCAATTGCGTCATTGGCCAGGATTGTCAGAGCACGCGTCTTGCAAAATATCAGCAATCGGGATTGGTTTTGATCAAACCGAGGTCTCAACGGCGCGATGAAAGCGGTTGGCGGGGCAACAAGATGGAAATGGCATTCATCCTTGGCTGCCGACTTGACAGGCTTTGACTGGATGAGGCGAAATTTCGAGTTCATCAGCATTAAAGGCGTTCAGGCGTGCTGGACGCCGAGGCATACTGGACGAAGTTGGCTGAAGGCTCAAAGATGGACGCAATAGGGAGAAATTCCAGCTCGTCTGTGAGCGCATTGCTTAACCTGGCGTTGGAGTTGACCGCTTTCACAATGTGATTCGACATGGCTCATCCAGGAGGGTAATCATGGCAAATGTTCTGAATAATCGACAATTGTCTTGCCCCATTTGTCACGCCCATTGCAACTGTCCAAAAGAAAGGAAATTTGAGGTTTTGGGCCAAGATGGGAAGGTGCAGCTAGGGAATTTGGAGAGCAGCAGGAAGTGGGCGCTGTTCTCTGCCCACAGCGTGAATGTCGTGCGCCAGCAAGCTACCCTGACTGAACGCGAGAGCGTGATCATCCCTCGAGTCAGCACGGAGAAGCCGTATACACACCTATTCGGCTGTGACATTCCGTGCGGTCTCAATTACATTTAGCTCAATACACCTCGTTCTATTTCATTCGGGTGATAAGCTGCTTGACGGCCACAAGGGACTTGCTCATGTCACCAGTTGCGGTTGTTGCAAGGCGCAGATGGATATCCAATGCGGCGTTGATGTTACGCACCGAGATAGCTGTCGGGCAATGCCACAGTCAGCAATGAAGCAGGTGAAGTGACAGGAGAATGATAGCTCACCTTGACAAAGCTGATGCAGCGCTTGGACGGCTTTCGCGTCCAGTGTCTCGCAGTTCAATGCGTCAAACAAGAGGTTGACTCGAGACTCGACGTCATCCACCATGCGCTTCGGCGCTCCAGACACCTTGAAACGACCCAATTCTTGCGAGAGCACGTTGAAAATTGGCTTGAGGCTCTCAGGGATGTGGCTTCGGTCACCAGGAGCTGCGCATCGTGAAAGGAGATTCTCTTCAGCGCTGGGACATGATCAATACGTTGTCGTCCTCAACTTACGGTATTTGCTCTGCTGCATCGACTTGGCGGGAGTCTGACTCCGTGCTGGAGCGCCAGCGCCGCTGCCAGCTGGTGGTCCGGTCACGAGGCCGGGGGTTCCCATGCGAGGCGGCGCGGGTGGCGGAGGCTGCGGCAGGTTAGGTGGTTGCTGCGGGATAGATGGTCGCATGCCATTTTGGAACGCTTGGCCTACCGGAGGACCGTACTGCCCCTGCTGCTGCGGCGGCTGCCCCTGTGGAGGCATGCCAGGCGCAGGGCCCCGAGCTGGAGGTGGCATCTGCTGGCCTTGTGGACGAGCAGCAGCGCTCGACGCACGCGGCGGGCCTTGGGGTGGAGGACCCTGGCGCCCAGGTGGGGGCGCCCCGACTTGCACGTTCGGACGCGAGCCGTACAACGCAGTTCCACCCGCCTGCGGCGGGGGCGGCGGGCTCGCAAACGCCTGGCGACTTGGCGTCTGGCCGCGAGGTGGACCTTGCGGCGGTGCGCCAGATTGACTGCCATACGGAGCGGGTGCTGGCGAGTTGGGGAATGGGGATGTGATGGGCTGGGCCTTGTTGCCGAGCGCGCTAGCTGTGCGGCGAAGTCCTCCGATCGCGTCTGGTACGTCGTTCCACCCCGTGTTATCCCTCTTGAGCGGAGGAGGTGGAGGCAGCGAAGGGTTCAAATTGGGCTGTGTGTTCGTCAGCGTTGGACCAGGAGGTGGGATCATAGGCTGAGGTGGGGGAGGAGCGTAAGATGCCTGCGCGCCGTATACGCCACTTGCACCGTAGGGGTCATACGCCTGTCCTGCGTTACCTTGTGGTTGATAGAGCTGAGTGGCAGGCATGCCATACAAGCCCTGCGCCTGTTGTGCGGCATATGGATCGCGTTGAGTTGGTATTGTCGGCACGGATGGAATCGAAGGAATTCCAGCAGCAGGCGCCACTGCTGCCTGCGTCGGTGCGTACAGGTTGTATCCATTGCTTTGAGACGCCGTTGCGGTGCTTGTTCCGGTCGCCACTGTCGCCACCGGTGTTGCTGCTGCAACGGATGCAATCGCTCCAGCCTGAGCCTGCTCAGATGGACGGGCTGCCTGTGCACGGCTGAGGCGGTCCCTAGCAAGTAAAGCAGCATCGTCGGAGACTGAGCTAGCGCTAGCTTTGGCACCCTTATAATCCGACGGGGTCTGCTGGATAAACGACAGCGCAGACGAGATTAGACCTTGGTCTGCGAGCAGGTCGACGTACTCATGTATGCGGTCATACAGCGCCGAGAGCTTGTACACACGCAGCCCGTTCTCGGCAATGAACGCGTTGTCAGTCGGTTGTTGCAGATCCGTGTCAACGTAGCCGACGGCGTGCTGGAATACGATGATCTTCTCGATGAATGACTGCAGCGCCTCGGCGTGAGCCGAATACAGCCCGGCCGCTGCACCATCACCACCAGCGATCGTCTTGTCCTCAGCGCGAAGCAATGCCTCTTCCTCTTCCTTCATCTCGTCGATCCACATATTGACGACCTTTTCAAGCTTGCCAGCCGCCAAGTAAACCAGCACGGCATTTTTGCGCGCCTCCTTGGACTTAGCTTGGGTGTAGTGCAGCTCAAGGCGTTGACCAAGCTGCTCGGCGAGGTTGCCAAACTCGTCGGAGCGAGCAAATGTGCAGAGCACGACGAAGACCTCCTGCCACTCGCTTAAGTCGGCGTTCTGCACGATGTCCGACAGATCGTCTGAGACAATGCTCTGGTAAAGGCGGAGGTACGGCGTGGAGCTGGTGCGCTGCTCAAAGTAGAGCTTCTGCGTCTTGGCTAACAACTCGGGGCCACCGCGGACGGCGAGCAGGATCGCGTCAGCGAACTTGTCCGCCGAGATGCACAACGAGACGGCGCTCTCAAAGTCGCCGAGGACTAGCGCGCGCGTGATCAGCTTGTCTGCTTCGCTCTCGTTGCTTGGGTAGATTCGGAACGTTGCGGTCTGCGGTGCAGCAGAGGGTGCGCGCGACGGCACGGGCGAGCCAATCGTCGCAGCGGTGGACGCAGCAGCTGGCGTAGCCCCATTGGCACCGGCCCCAACACTGGGGAGGTGAGAGGGCAAGGCGGACTTGTTGGCGAGCTCATCAAAGAAGGCTTCGCTGGCAGCGGCGCTCTCGGGAGCCTGCGCTGTATCGTCACCAAACAAGCTTGGATCCTCGGTAGCTGCCGTTGCCGTAGTGCCGTCTGTGGCGTTCGCGTCTGTGGCATCTGTCTCCGTGGGGGTGGTTTCAGTCTCCGTCTCTGAACTCTTTTCCACCTCTGCGACCTTGGCGGCTTCCTTGACAGCCTTAGCCACCGCCTCGGCTGCCGTCTCGATGTTGGCATGGCCAGACTTTTCCTTGAAGCTCGCCACAGCCGCAGCGACTTTAGCCGCGACGTCCTCCTTAGAGAAGCCGAGCAACGTGACCAGCTCGTCCCTGGAGTCCGCCTTGAAAAGCGTTTGCAACGCCTTCCAGTTCGTCGCGTCGTCCGTCGCTGCCGTCCCTCCTTGCGCTTCCTGGCTCCTCTCATCGCAGAAGGCTGCGAGGTCCTGCGAAGCAAGCGCGTGCTGCAGCTTCTGCGCGCGCGCAACGATCGTCGGCTCCGTAACGACATCACGCACGTGGACGACGCTTGACTGCGTCTTGCCGCTCGGACCTGTCAGGTTGCTGACCGAGACAAGCTGGCCACCAAACGCGAACGACGCAGAGACAGGCCTGCGGAGCCACTTGGGCGGCTGCTTGAGCGAGACGCCGGGTGTGCCGCTTGGCGCGGCGGGCAGGCTGTTGAAGAAGTCCGCGCCGTCCGCGCCGTCCGCGCCGTCCGCGCCAGCTCCTTGCGTTTGCGCTGCCGAAGCGGCCGCTGCTGTGGCCGCGGCAGCAACCCCCTCGTTGGAGCTGATGGCCTGCAACGAGTGCACGCCGATTTTGCCGTCAAAGCTGGCGGTGGCAAGGAGGTCCGGGTTGCGCGGGCACCACTGCACGTCGAATGTCCAGTTGCTGCTGGATGGCAGCTCACCGACAATCTCGCCGCTCTGCGGATTCCAAAGAATGGTTCTGTTGTCCTTACCGCAAGAGACAAGCAGGTCTTCATCCTGCCTGCACCAGCTCATGGAGAGGATGCCTTTGGAGTGACCGCTCAGGATGAGCTCGGGGGCGAGTGCGTTGCGCAAGTTCCACACCATGATGACCGGGTTGTTATCATCCTCGGAAGAGGTGACGAGACGTGTGGGTTGCTCTGGATGCCAGCACACAGCCCCCATGCCCCTCCGGCCACTGGCACCGCCTCCGATGCCGTTCATACGCATGTTTGCCATGTTGGTCCCCGCTCCGCCGCCATAGGAAAGCACTGCCACTTCCCGCTTTCCCTTGAGGTCCCAGACGACCGTGCTGCCGCTGTTGCTGGCTGTGGCGAGGATCTGCGGAACCTTGGCATTCCAAGCGAGCGCGGTGATCTCGTCGAGCTTGTTGGAGCGTGCGCCCGGCGAGTAGGGACGAAGGGGTGAGTTGAGGTCCCAGATGAAGATCTCGCCATTGGTGCCACCGCTGGCGAGAAGGTTGTTCTGAACATTGTTGAAGTCGAGCCCTCGGACGGGACCACTGTGCTGGTTGTTGCGCAAGATCTCAGCATCGGGGGCAGAGGAGAGAAGTTTATCTGCATCCCACAAGGCCAGCTCGCCGTTCTCGAAGCCACCGGCGAGGACACCTTTTGGCCGTGATGGATGCACATAGCCCCAGGTCAGGCGGTTGAATCTGTGTGTACGAAGAATGTTGGGTGTCAGCATGCCGTGACACAAAGGACGGGAGAAAAACAGAACGTGCGCTACCCGCTCACCTTGCACCGGTGCTAACACTGGCGACAGGACTGAGCTGCTCCGCCTCGCCGCTGTAGTTCGGCTTCCAAAGCTCGAGGACGCTTTCGTTGCTGAAGCTGTCATCAAGAGCTCCGGCGACAGTCGCTGTTGCAACGTACGGCCGCGCGACCGAGTCAAGCTTGGCTGGCGACCAGGCGAGGGTCGCCGTGCGCGGGATAGAGGCCTTCATGATTCCAGGCCGCTTGACGCGGTGCCGATGAGGCGGCTGTGGTTATACGCGCTGGTAGTTGCTGCTGAAGCTCTTCCCTGCCTAGTAGCTGCACTTACAGAGTCCTTGGAGCACACTGGAGGGAGCGTGCGTGCTACTCCCACTCGTTCGCCCAAATAAGGACCGCGGGGAAGAATGCAAGATGAGATACGTGCCTCGTGACGCAAGTGACGTTTTTCTTTGTTCGCTGGGTAGAATAACCCAGGCCTGCGTTGCACTTTGACCAGAGGCTGCAATCCAAACTGTATGGAACGCAGCTTGCTACACACTGCTGCTGCTCTCGAATGGGACTCTGGATGCAATCCGTCGGAATCGTGGAAGGTCGACACCTCGATGGCTGTGGGTGTGTTGATGACTGACTACGATAGACTGGTGTTGGCGCGCGCGCCCGTGCGTGACGCTCGCGCCACCCATCGACCCCGTCACCCCTGGCCAGCGCCCGCCCGCTCCCTCTGACCCATGACGGTGATGGGCTTCTGTGGGTTTTCATGTAACCCTATTTTGTTCACACTCATTTTTTGCATGTCAAATATAAAAGTTGCCTTAGGACATTCAGATTGCGACATGCGCAAGTCTATGTGCATACACGCCAACATTCTCGGAGTAGATGCGCGGTCGCCAATTGCGGCCTCGCACATGCAGGAAAGATTATTCCTCCATCAGATCAGCAGCACACCCCTCCTGCCAATGAGGCGCTCGAAGAAGGGTGGTGCGAGGTCCGAAGGCGGATGCGTTCGTCTGTCTTGCTGCTTTGTTCATATGCCGAGCCGAGCACCCACTCAGCTTAGCAGAGCAGGCTGGGCGTGCCATGAAATTTGCAGGATGGTCATTGGCCTGTTTGTAGCGGACATATCGTCGCTGTCTTGCTTCGCTTTGGCGAGCTGGGGCTTGGTCTTCCAAAGTCATATAGAGCGCCGGGAAGTGAAAAGGCACTCCTGCCTTTCGAGTCGTGCGTCAGGGAAGCGGATGACTGTGTCTTTGCCGGGTGATTTGCTCTGTCGCGGAGTTCATCAGGCTGGCATCCTTGATACTCCAGGCTGAATATCAATGCGCGACCTTTTTGGTCAACCCCATCCGCCTCTTCCTTCGCTCGAGCTTTTTGGCGCTCATCTGCGGTTAGAAAAGAAATCGCGGAGGTCAGTCTAAGCAGAGGCCTCATCAGCAACAGCAGATAAAGTAGCATACCGCACCTTTTGGGCCATCTGCGCCAATCGTTCTTTCTCCCTCTCCTTCTCCTTGCGTTCCTTGAGGATGCGCGCCTTTCTATCCTTTTCAGCCTCCTTCTCAGCCTTCATCTCGCGCTCCTTCTTCTTGGCCAGCTCCTGCTTGCGCCTCTGCTCCGTTCTCTGGTCCCATGTAGTCTTGCGTTTGAGACCGGCAATGTTGGTCGTGGATGGAAGCAGCGTCGCCGGGTCGGACGTGGATGAAGCGGTCCTGTGGAGAGTGAGCAAGCGCAAAGACAGCCACAAGACATCAGCAAGGCGTCCAGCCGGTGGCAGCGCATACATTTAAATTCCTTCGCACTCACGCCATGATGAATATCCACAGCACTGCGTTGCTGACGATTTGCCAAAACAGCTGTTCTTTGGCGGAGGAGGGAAGGGTGAAGGACTGTAAGCCACAAGCATTTCATCGACCAACTTGAGGCGGCGTCACTGGCAAAAGGCGTGTTGCAAAAATGGGCGGAATCAAACCCACAGTACCGCGATCGTAATTCTCTCGGGCGAGAAAAAGTTGGCGCCGTGTAATGCCATCCGATCTGGCGCCAAGTAGAGAGAGACGCGGGAGGCTGCACTTGACTCTTCTCCCTCTCTCTCAAAGTCTCTTTCCAGTCAAGTATCAATCGAATCACTTGTCCATTCTCCATCTTCATCATCGTCGTGAGTGCCAGCATCGCACCTTCATCGCAAGGTGTCCATCTAGTGATCGCATCCAGCGAGATACACCAGCGCAGCACAACATGTACGCAATCAAGAGAGCAGCAGGCTCGTCCCTCTCAGCTCTTCGGGGCAGCGCGCAGGCAGGGCCCTCTTCATGCGCTCGCAATCTATGCATCGCAGCCACTGCAGCTGCTGCGAGCTCTCCTTCTGGCTATTCTTCCGCCACCGCAGCGCTCGCAACTGCGCCGCAAGGGCGAAATGCATTACACAAACGGGGGGTGTCTTCATCCGCCACCCAGCAAATGGCGACGCCAGTGGATGTTGAGAAGCCAAATGTCAGAGCTGGTGTCGGGAGCGCACAAGGGACCGGTAAAAGTGAGTCTATTCTTGAGTTGCGCTGCGCTACGCCACTGCGTCGATTGCCACTATAGATGCATACCTGATCATGCGAATGCTTCTGTTGACAGATCTACTGAGTGAGGTCCTCGATTCGATGCCCCGCCACTCAACAGCCAATCGACCGATCTACCTCGATGCGCAATCCACCACTCCCTTGGATCCACGCGTACTGGACGCCATGATGCCCTACCACACGAACCAATACGGAAATCCACACTCCCGGACGCATGCTTACGGCTGGGAGTCGGAAACAGGCGTGGAAGAGGCGAGGAAGCGCGTCGCGGAGCTGATCGGTGCTGACGCTAAAGAGATCATCTTTACCTCGGGCGCCACCGAGTCGAACAACATGGCGCTGAAAGGTGTCGCTCATTTTTATGGCAGCAAGAAGAACCACATCATCACCACGCAGACTGAGCACAAGTGCGTACTGGACAGCTGCAGGCGGCTGCAGGAGGAAGGGTACGAGGTGACCTATCTGGGCGTGCAGAACAACGGTCTGGTCGACCTCAAAGAGCTCGAGGCGGCGCTACGCCCGACGACGGCAGTTGTCAGCATCATGACCGTCAACAACGAGATCGGAGTTATCCAGCCGATGAAGGAGATTGGGCGGCTGCTAAAGACAAAAGGTGCCGCGCTGGCCAAGTCCGCCGGGTTGTCTGGCAAGCCGCTCTTCCACACTGACGCAGCGCAGGCCGCCGGCAAAATTCCGATCAGCGTCGATGAGATGGGCGTCGACATCATGTCACTGTCCAGCCACAAGCTGTACGGGCCCAAGGGTATCGGCGCAGCATACGTCCGCAGGAGGCCGCGCGTGAGGCTTCAGCCGATCATCAATGGCGGCGGACAGGAGCGTGGGCTGCGCAGTGGCACGCTTTCGCCGGCGCTCGTTGTCGGGTTTGGCGAGGCGGCTAGGCTTGCGAAGCAGGAACTTGCTGTGAGTATTCAATACGATCTGATCGTGTTGGTGTCCGCATGTAGGGGTGCAGGTATGCCTTTCGTGACACGGATGGGGATATTGGCCAATGATGGAAGATTGCGCTTCATGCTAAAGGTGCGCACAGTCGCACTCGATCTATGATGACGAGTCTCTTCCAAGGACTTGCTTGACGATCGCGCAGGGGTTCTGAGGCTCAGGCAACTGGTAGGAGGCATATCGGGTTTACGAGCAGAGCGCTGATGACAATATATTGCCTTTGCATTGCACAGTATGACCATGCACATGTCACCCGTCTCGCAAAGCGTCTGCGCACCAATATCATGTCCGCCATGACACACGTCATCCTCAACGGCGACCCGAACGGGTACCCTGGCTGTACGAACATCTCCTTCCAATACGTTGAAGGCGAGTCGCTACTCATGGCGCTCAAGGACGTCTGCCTTTCCTCCGGCTCGGCGTGCACATCAGCATCGCTCGAGCCCTCGTATGTCCTGCGCAGCCTGGGCCTGAACGACGAGAATGCGCATTCTAGTCTGCGCTTCGGCATCGGCAGGTTCACGACAGATGAAGAGGTGGATTACGTCTCGGAGAAGATCATCAAGGTCGTCAACAGGTTGCGGGACATGAGTCCGCTGTGGGAACTGGTACAAGAAGGTGTGAATTTGGAAGAAATCGAATGGACTGCATGAAGTCTTCTGGTTGGCTTTGTACATAAACTCGCTTAGGAGCGTCTCCGTTCAAAATCAGTCCGCAAATGGTGGCACTGTCATACTCAAAGAATCATGGCGCGAGTTCATCGATAAGTTCCAACCTGGTGGGTCGAACACGTTTGGCTTTGAGTAGTCTGCCCTCCAAGCCAGGCAGGCAAGAAGTGTCGTTCGTTCAAACCAAGCACCCGAAGTTTCTCTGCTGTATGTCTCGTCGCTAGCAATGAGGAGCAGACGGCCATCGTTGTGAAGGAGGCAGTAAAAGGGTGCCGCGCACAATACAGGTGACAATGCGTGTTTCAAATCCGACCACGGAAAGATCTGTCGAGGGCGCAGAACTGGCTGGTCCTGTCGTCCGCTTAGGACATTGATTGTCACGAGCCTCGTTCTGCGCGGCCGTGGACTTATAAGAACCCTCGCCGCTTCTGGCCATCATCTCGTCAATCACTGGTCGCAGTCCATGCCAAGCTGGTTGCGTGTACGCGTGTGGCATCGGTTGAGTTCCCCCAAGCAATTCCCGCTGCCGCTATGGTCGTCTCCTTGTCATCTTCTGGACTCTGTCTCTGATCAGGTTGATCCGTCGACGGGCGCAAGTTGCAATTGTCAAATATTGAATGATGGTTCTTCTGTCTTCATCATTTGCCTTTTGTGCATTTGCCGGAGAATCCGGGAGGTCCGAAGTGAGGATGTACTGTGACGAGGGGGCCACGCAAGCACAACCTTCGCCAATCCTCTTAATCGCTGCGACGTCGATTGGGAAGGGCAGCCCTTGCCGACCACTTCCTTCTCTCTGCATCGGAAGAGACAATTCGGCAAGCGCGAAGGTAGGGAAAGGCACTGTCCACAATGGAATTCGACCACTTCCTCCGCGATGGTCCGCCACCACGGCACCAACTCGAGTCAGACTCGGACGACTCGGACGTTGAAGCGGCCTCTCATGCGGCCTCGAGCCGTGCGAGCACACTTGGTCAAGTGCCATTAGTGCAGTCTGTGCTGCGCTCTGGTAATCTAGAGGACTTCCAAAAGTGCCCCTTGATACTGCTGGAAGGTGAAGCTGCCGAGTCGTACTTGCAAGCGTTGCTCCCATCAGGCGCAGCTTCGAGTGCGGACGCACCTGCAGTTCCTACACTCGAATTGACCTTGGACGGTGTCACGGTCAGTAGCACACGAATTCAAGTCTATGCAATGCGTTATCGCTGATAAAATGACATATATACCCTTACCTCTGGCAGCAAGCTTTAATAATCCTGCTGGACGAGTTGCCCAGCAAGCTCCTCATCGCCATGTGCACTCCCAGTAAGGCGCTCCGGAACTCCCCCCGAGCGGCAGCGGCATTGTCGCGGCGCATTTTCCAAGAGACGCTGCCAACAAGGTGAGAACGGGGAGCCGTTCACTTCTCGATCAATGAGCTGAAGCACCTCGCAATGCTTCCTTACAGTGTGATATTACTATCTTCTTACAATGCTGGTACATATATCGAAAACGCTGAGCACGAGGACGACTCGAGCTATACGGGCGCAACTCTACGGTACCTCGTGCAGCCGAACAACGGCGAAACTTTCAGTCCCGTACTCGAGCGCATTAGAAAACTACCCGTAGCAAGACCCTTCGACGTACCGAACGTGCTCACCGGCGTGCCAGGCTCAATAGTCTCACAAGCCGTCATGCACGGCGCAGAGTCAAGGGCCGACGTGCTCGTCCTCCTCACACCGTACCTCACACTGCAGCCACACGCTTCATTTTACCAGCAGCAAGGAGAGGTGGAAGGGGCGGACGACGTTGGCAGCCAAGCGCCTACGCTCGCGCCGCCGATAATGCCATTGCCACAGGCGAAGTCGATTAGCACGGTTCTAGGCTCGCATGCACATAGCATCGTTTCGCGCGCTCCAATGCTTTGGCACGCGGCTCGACACAGTAGGAAGCAAGATTCGGGCCCCTCCACTGCGGAAGTGCCAAGGCCGCGAAAAGGAAGACTCGCAGGTGATGGTAACATGTATCTGTAAGCGTGCCGATGCATGAATGAATCGACGTGATGCTACAATCCATCGAAGAAGCCTCCGTCGCGTGTCGCCGCGCCTTCGGCACCAATGTCGTTTCCGTCCACCTGCATTACTTTAGTGCTCGCCTTTTTCTCCGCTTTGCGGCGCCGTCGCTCCTCGCGTTCCTCAGCGTCCCAGTCGTCCTCCTCCTCATCCTCATCCTGATCTTTGGATCCACCTTCAGCTGCATCACCTTGAGCGCCATTTTTGCCATCAACTTCGGCTTCCTTCGTGGCCGCCTGTTGTTCTTTGAGCCAGCTCCGCTTCCGTGCTTTCTTTTCTTTGCGAAGCTCCCGTACCTCCTTCTTGCGCTTCTGGTGGCTCCAAGCTTCGCCACTAGCGACCTTGCTTCCCTTCTCCACAGGGTCCGAAGCCTTTCGTTTTTGCATCGTCGCGTCGCCCTGGCCATCTACTTCAGCTTCTCGCGCCGCTGCCGCAGTCAAACGCTTGGCTATCTCATCCAGCCGTTGCTTCTCCTTCGCTGCATCACGGTATGCATATGCACTCATGTCGATTTTTGCATCTTCAAAGCCGATGCTGGCGATTGCCTGGCCACCGTCCGTCCCCCCGGTCGCGTTTGCTTTGCGCTCAGGCATGCGGGGCAAACGCAGCAGCGCAAATGAACGCGCCACACCTTCCAAGCTGAGCTCTTTGGTCCGAAAGATGTAAGCTGCTTCATGTTTGCCGTACGCACGGACGTAAGAGACGAAAGCGAGGGCGCCAAGGTCGAAAAGTTGCCTGTCGGTCATGACAGTCTTCCTCAGCGTTGCTTCCAACTTCCGTGCTTCCTGGTCAAGCCCTTCTGGCTCCGTTCCTGGCGCGATGCCGCTATTGCTAGCGGCATTGCATAGAAGGTACGGGTATTCTTGAAGTGGAACCTTACGGACACGCAGAAAGTCTGCATACTCCTCCTCGCGGCCCTGATGCAGCAAGACGATCGCCCTCCCCTTTCGGCCCGCTCGCGCCGTACGACCGATTCGATGATTGAACGAGCTCGGGTCGGTCGGTGGATCGTACTGTATGACACAGTCGACATCCGGAAGATCGAGTCCGCGCGCTGCAACATCAGTGCACAGCAGCACGGAGGCGCTGCCGGCGGCCAAATTGGACTTCATGCCGATCGAGCTGACGAACGCTTTGAACGTGGCTCGTCGGCGCGATGGCGTTTGCTTGCCGTGTAGCGTGTACAGCTGGATGCCGATCAGCTGCGAGCAGTCGGACAGGATCTTGTGAAAATAATTCACTTGAGCGCATGTCGAAAAGTAGACGATCATCTTCCCTGCGACACTAGGCCCTGGACCACTTCCGTTACTGCTAAAACCGCCCGAAAAGGTCTGCGTTTCGTACCGAAGAAGCCGTACGAGCTGGGCCATTTTGTTTTCTGGACGGCTTATAAGGTAATAATTTTGTAGCGTCGCAGGTATCCTGCGATCTTCTGTGACGACCTCCTTCCGTATGGCCCCATCTTTCTGCTGCACCTTTTTCTCAACCTTGACGACAATCCTGCTGGGATTGCGCAGACCAAGGCGAGCAAGCTCAGCCATTGCGTCTGTCATAGTCGCGGAGAAGAGCCCTGTTCGCCGCTGTCTTGGCAAATGATCGAGGATGGATGTGAGCGTCGGCATGAATCCAAGGTCCAGAAGCCGGTCCGCTTCATCCATTATGAGCATCTCAAAGCCCTTCGTGTTAACTCCAGGCTGTTTGAGCAACTCTTCCAGTCGCCCAGGCGTGCCAACGAGAACGTCCGGAATGTTATCTTTGAAGCGCTGATAGTCTCGTTGGGGCTTGATTGATGATCCACCTACCACTAGCTGAGCACGCAAAGGCGCCGGTCCAGAAAAAATGGATGAGTGGTCGAGTTCGCCTGATTCGGCAGCTTGTGCATCCTCCTGATCGACCTCAGCAAGGGCCTCTTGTCGCGTCAGCCGCTGTTTCCCCGAGAACATTGCTATCTTCGCTTCAATGCGGGCTTCCCGCTCTGATTGCCACATATCTTCGTCGATTTGTGCGGGCTGAGCTCGTAGGACCTTTTCGAGGACTTGATGAATCTGCGCCGCGAGCTCGTGAGTTGGCGCGACGATCAAGGCACCGACATGTCGATCTCGCCGACGATCTCTTGGTGTTTGGAAGATCGCGCCGTGGTCGCTGCTGCCTTGCGCTTCGTTATCGCTATGCTTTCCCCTCCAGTCAGTTTCCCATTTGCGAGTGAGCAGCTCGACGATAGGTACGAGATATGCAAGCGTCTTGCCTGAGCCAGTGATCGCTTCGACGATGACATCCTTATGTGATAGGAAGAGCGGAATGGTGCTGGCTTGCACCGGCGTCATCTGTCTAAAACCGAGGTCTTCTTGAATGTATTCCTGCAGCCATGGACATAGCGGCTGGGACAGTTTGAGCCGAGACCACGTCCCTGCATACGCTGGCGCATTCGAGGGAACTGTAGTCGAGGTCGGGCAAGTCTGTGAGTCAGGCTTTGACAGCCGAGCCCGCTTTGCCAGTGGCATGCTTGGGCCTGGTCTTGCTGACATTTCCTGAAGGTATAGCTGTGCACTTGACTCTGAGCGAGACGTGCAGCACCTAAAGCTTCGGCTTCTCGTTGGTATGCGCCCATCAACCAGTGCGAGCTCTCTGCTATTCCAGCATGGCAATTCTGGACTTCAATCGCGCTCAACGAGACTCACTGGTCAAAATTTTGGACGGAAACGCATATCTGTTTTCTTTCTTTATTTTCTAAAAGAGAAGAAGCGTCCGGGGAAAAGAAAGAACGCCAAGCATGTGAGACTCGAGTCAAATAGTCGCGTGCGATTGGCTCTTCTCAACCATTCTCGCCTTTGCGTTGCGGCCTATACGGTTACTGTAGCAGCTCGCAGTCAAGCAAGCGGTCAAGGCGGTTTCATCGAACGAGGTGTCAGGTTCAGGCCGATTCAGGCTTCGCTGCGCATCAGGTCAAGATGGCTGGGCGACACGGGAACTGGATGGGGCCGAACAACCCCAACATGGCTCCGTTGGCGTCTCGAGGTTCACGGCCAGGCACGCTTCCAGCTCGCCCTCCCATGAGCCCAGATTCTGCAGGCTTGGGGCCTGGAATAGCGATGTCGATACCGCCTGGTTCCGCTCCACCGCCGCCAGGGATGGCGGGACCGCCACCGATGTACGCAGGGCCGCCACCAGGCTTCCCGGGATATATGGGTCCGCCTCCCGGCTTCCCACCAGGCACGGCTGTGGTCCCTCCCGGCGTGCAAGGCTTACCATCCGGTCCTATGGTGGAAGCCACGAATGGGGCTGCAGCTGATCTTGCCACTTCCGCAGGTTCAGTTGGTCCAAATGGACTCCCTGCAGGGTCTGGGTGGGGAGCCAGGGCAAAGATGAAGAACGAGCAGGCGACAACGCTCTTCATCGGAAGCATAGCAAATGGCGTGACAGATCGATGGATCAAGTTACTATTTGAGGTGAGCCTTGGCGTCATCTTTGCACGTGAATGTCAGCTGCTAATGATACCCTGCATTAGGCATGCGGTCCCATTGCATCCTACAATCGGCCGAACAAGGCCTTTTGCTTCGTCGAGTTCTCAGAACCAGACTCGGTCTTGCGAGCACTTACTACACTCAATGAGCTCGAGCTTCCTAGCCTTCCTCTCGATGAGGGAGCACCGCCAAAGAAACTCAAAGTGAAGGCTGATGCGAAAACCGGCAAATTCCTTGAAGAGTACCGATCCAGCCGCGACGACGCCAATGATGCCGCCCTCGACGCAGAGGCAACAGCAAAGATCCAAGAGATCGTGGGTAACATGCGTGATCCTAACTATCGCCTACCAGGTGACTCAACAGAAGTAAAACCCTCGTACGAGACTCCGGCTCATCTCAAAGATCTGACAGAGGAAGAGCTGCCAGAAGAAGTTAGAGGCAGCGTTCTCGGCGAAATCGCTCAGTTCCGAGTTTCTGCAACGGCAAGGGAGGAGGACAAGCGACGGCAAGAGGCAGAGATGGCAAGAATCCAGGCGGAACGGAGGAGGGAGCGACAGCAGCAGCAGCAGCAGCAACAACAACAGCAGCAGGATGGTCCGGAACAGGATCGTGCGGGGCCTTTGAGCGGGCCTGTCGGCGATGGTCCACAGAGTTATCGCCGAGGGCCGGGCTTTGTCCCCGCAGCAGTTATGAATGGACGCAAGCTCGACGACATGGACCCTGAAGCGCGAGATGAGCTTGAAGAGAAGATGCGGAGGGAGAGGCTGGCCGAGAGCAAAAGTGTTGACGCGCAAATTGTAAGTTTGGCAGTGGTAGTCTACACTCTTTCCCTGCTTACTTAAGCTTCCGCGCGCCCCTTTGTACCTCCAGGCGGAGAACAAGTACATCCCAAAAGAGCGCAGCCGGCTGGCACGATGGGAGAAGGAGCAAGAACGCGAGCGCATCGATGAGCGACGGCGACTAGACGAAGCTGATCGCTTCTTAAGGCGTTGTGAGCGATGGGATCGAGAGACCGAGTCATTCTACTACGAGCGTTCCCATTGGCGTAGGCATCGTGAAGCACAACGTGCGCGCGAAGAAGCAGCCGACGCAAAGGATATCGAAAACGAGAAGGCCAGCGCAGAGCAAGCCCGGCTTGAGGCGGAGCGCTTCCTCGCGCAGCAGGAAGAAGAGATGAAGAAGCTGGCAGAACAGCAGCGGGCTGCAGGAGTGCTACTTCCAGGTGCAGTGGAATCGGGTCCGCTGAAACTGACGATCGCTTCCAAAGTTGCGCCAACAACATCGGCGGATGCGGACAGCGCCGCGCGAGCGCCAACTGTGGCTGCTGGGACTGGTGCGGCTGGTGGTGGTGTAGGCTTCAAGCCGTCAGTGCTCGGTGCCACGGAAGATGACGATGACACTGGCTCACGCAAGAAGCGAATGGCTAAGATTGACTTCAACGACACGAGGACTGAAGCTGAGCTAAGAGTACAGCGAGAAGAGCAAGCGCGTAAGATCCGAAGCAGCTTACCAAAGGATTGGGAAGGCATCTCCGCTTTGACACCCCAATGGACGGCTATTGAAGCAGTGAGTTGGCAAACCATGCATCGTACATGTCTTTCGATACCAGTTGCTGACACTCCTTGCTTTTTCAGAATATTGCTAGCAAGTACAAGAAGCTCGCTGAGGATTTCACTGTGGAAAGTCTCGGCGAGTCCGTGCCTGAACTCATTGACGCTGTGGTGGAGAAGCTCACTGCCCGAGCAAGTGCTTCTGACCTGTTAGCGGAAGTCGAACCGGTGTGTTACATTGCCCATCCCACTTCTTGCTTGCCCAAGCTGATATTCATGCGCTTGCTGCAGGCACTGGACGAAGATGCGCAACCGCTCGTCGAGAAGTTGTGGCGACAAATCCTCGAAGATTCACTCTTAGCCTCGGCGGGACTGCAGTGAGTCTAGCCTTTGTCGATTGGCCACGCGGTCATGCGCATTTTGTAAGATAGGGAATGTACTACACACAGGCTGCGCGACTAGTCGCCAGGCATCACCACCCAGAGCACGTCTTCCGGCCTAATGAAAAAGCCCAAGCTGTCCTCGCTGTTTATATCTATACAAGCTGCAAAGCTTGGTGAGCGGGACCTTGCGTCCTGCCGACGACGCCAGTGAAGGTCACTGCCAAGAGCTGGCGTCTTTGTTCGTTCACCGAAGGCACTGCCAGCGTCCAGGCCCTCAGAGGAGCGGGCCAATAAATCTTGGAGTCGCTTCCGGCGTCGCTCCCTGTGCAGGCGCGTCTCCTCGTCGATCTCGGAGTCTGACGTGGGTGCTGGCTCGCTTCCCGATTGGCAAGTGGACGCGGTTAAATCAAAATATCGGATACCGTCGAGCGTTCCGTCCGTCTTGATGCTCTCAATCCCTAGGGAGCCGTCGCTTTCAAGCGCTGGGGGGAGCGGAGGTGGGATCTGCACTCCAAGCCACGAGCCGGGGTGCCCTGGCAGAGGGCCGATGTACTTGACAAGTGCTCTGAATCGCGGGGGCTTGCGTGTGCTTGCTTGGTTAGGTGCTACCACGCAAGGAATGCCATGTGCAAGGCATGTCCTCTTCATCGGACGCACCTCAATGTCTTGATCATTGCTATCGTGGGCAGAGGGGGCCAGTGCAGAACCCTCCCTGCCTTTTGAGTCTGAAGAGAGCAGTGGGGAAGGCGGGACAGGTGTGAATGTGGTGTCGGTGAGGGCAGGCCCTGACGATGCGGCCGGACGAGCACGCTGTGTGCCATCCTCGGAAAGCTTCTGCGGACGCTTGCTCGATTTTTTGATTGTATCCTGGTCGGGCCCTGAGCTTGCCCCATATTGACTGCCTTGTGTGACTTTCTTTGGCAATGGCGGTACGGTTACCGCCTTTGATGCTGCTGCAGTTGAGCGCAAGGAGCCCATGCTGCACATTGTCTTCACAGATTGAGTAGGTGTACGCTTTGCAGATTCGGTAGCATTCCAGCCATTCTGCGTCGCGTTGCGCATCTTGGCAGCTGGCCGTGGTGTTGGTGATGCAGCGTGGTTGTCACTTCCAACAGCTGTTCGTCCATTAGCAACGCATTTCTTTGGCGTTTGTTCCGTGTTGGACCGCAACGGTGCTGATTTGGGCCCGTTTTCAACTGTGCACGTGCTGCGTATGGAAGCGCTCGAAGACTTGATGGAAAGTGATGATGGCGCACGCTTTCGCAATTCAGCGGTCGTCGACGCAGTGGAGAGTGTTGCAGAGGACGTCGATTTGGTTGACGTGACGGAAGGTGCTGCTGGCCGATGAGGCGCCGCAGAGGTGGAGAGTGCGGTTGAAGCCACAGACGATTTTGATGGTCTTCGGGCAGTGGATGAAGCTGTGTTGGATGAGGGTGTAGGCAGCAGCAATTTTGGAGATGTCGGTGAGCGTGTCCCTACTCTTGCAGACGTGCTCTGCGTAGGAGGTGCGAAACGGCTGGCCTCGAGGGCACGAGGAGCCGCTGCAGTCCGGGATAAGGAGGTGGTTCGTGTCCCTGGAGCGGGTGCTTCTGCTGCACCCGAGGTCCCAGGAGTCGACACAGCCCTTGCAGCAGATCGATTCATTGCAGCTGCGCGCAAGTTAATCGGCCCAGCTTCCCGCTCGCCTTCGCGTACGACAGGCCTGCTGCTGGCACCAGATGGGCGTGTCATGCCCGACATGGTGGCACTGGTTCCGGCCGCACGCGTTTGGGGAGCAGCAGCCGGAACAGTGGCCTTGAGCCCAGTCCTCGACCTAGGACCTTCGGCTTCAAGCTCATTCGTAGAAATAAGATCGTCAACCTTGACGTCAATCTCATCGCTGATCTCCTTGAGCGCCCAGTTCTCTAGCCCATCGAAGCCAGCCTTGGCGCGCACCGAAATCCATCTACGCTTGATATAGCGGATGATGCCTGCGCGCGCATCCTCAATCGTCTGTCTCTTCTGGCCCTTCGGGGGATCTTCCTCTCGCAAGAGCACTGAGCCAACGAGGATCTGGTAGGCCAAAGCGCATCGCTTCTCTGTCAACGAGTCGACAAGCAGCAACAACAGCTTCTCCAACACATCAGAGTTGAAGTCTGTGTAAAGGGTGAGGTCCTTCCAGACATCGTCTTCGACGATCTTCTCTAGCTGCGCCTCGAGCGTCTCTTTCAACTTTGCCTCCACCCTCTCCATCATCCATCGAAGCGCTTCAACCCAAGCGACGAAACGCTCGGCCTCTACGCGTGAGCTGACAAGCGCCAACTGCCGGACGGCACCAATGCAAGCGACCGGGGCCTGCTCAAGCATGCCGCAAACGGCGTCCACGATGGCGCTGCGCGCATTGTAGTCCAGATTGCCGATATCTTTATTCCAGTAGGTGCCAAAGTGTGGGCCGCTGACCGCGCGCCGAGCGCTGTGGAGGAGATAGGTGTCGTTTACGTCGTGACACGAGGCAAAGGCGAGCGTGCGCGGCACGCGGCGCGCACAGTTCTTGCATGGCGCCCCATCTCTGATGGTGTGCACTGCGCGTGATGATGCTAATAAAGGTGGGCCGGTAGAGCAGATAAAACCATGGCAGAACTCGTTCGCGATTAGTGCGCTGACGACGCTTTGCAGCGTATCGAGCTGCAAATACGCGCCGGCGCGCCAGAGCTGAAACGCGGTGGCGAGGTCGAAGCTACGGTTGCTGAAGCTCAGTGTGCCGCTGTAAATGAACCCAAGCGCAAAATGCAACGCCGCAGGCGTGAAGGGAGGACTGGGAAGGTGGATGACAGGGGCGCGCGCATCCGCAAAAGGGCTGAGGAGCTGCGACGCAAAATATGACGAGCGGCTGGCGAGGATGAAGCGATGCGCCGAGAAAGACGTCACTTCGTCTTCCGGGTCTTCTTCCATGTTCATCGGCAAGGAGAGCGCGGACATCGTGTCCGGGATGGACCGCATCGGTGGACCTGTGATAGGGAACGCACTGTCATCCAGTACGATCTTGATGTCCGAGAAAAGCTTGCTGCGCCACATGTAGGTCAAGTCTTGCTGCAGCTTCTCCAGTCGCTCCTCCCTGCCGCCTATCCCAGACCCCGACCCGTCTCCCAGCCCCGACCCCATCAGTGCGTCTTTTTCTTCATAGAGGAACTCAAAAGCCTGCTGCATGCTCTCCTCACCGGTGTACAGATACTCGAGGATCGCCTCGAGGAAGCCAGCGCTTGTGCTCGCACCATCGAGGTAGATGGGGTGAGAAGGCCCGGGTTTGTACGCTCGGCGCGGGAGGTAGGGTGAGCGGCCGATCGTATGCACGCTCGAAGCGTCTGATATCACGGATCCACTGAAGGAAAATGAGGAAGAAGCAATCGAGAGGCGGTCCGCTGCATCCACCTCGACGCTGCTTGCGTTGCCAAAGGGGGCGGAACGCTCTTGTGGTCGCAATTTGGATCGCAAACTCCCGCCACTGAATTCCTCGGCATCCGAAGCGTCTGCCGAGTTGGCACCCTCCCATCGCGTGTTGCGCACACCCGACGCAAGTGATTCTCTTGATTTCGCCTTGTCGTTGATCGAAGTAGCGGAACCGACGGACGACCTGCGACTGCCGATTGACCTGGGCGCCGAAATGCGCCTGCCACTTAACAGAGTTACAGCGGATACAGACTCGCCCTCCGATTCCGAGCCATTGCTGCCCCCCGTGGAGGCACTGCGCGCGCCTTTCCCGCTGCCGAACCGCTGTAGGGGGAAGCTGCTTGGTGGATAGGCACTGCGTGGAGCTGACTTGCGTCGGGCAGCACCCGGGCCGCTATAATTCGCGGCCGAGACAGAATTCGACAGCGTCGGTGTATCTGCGCTGTTTTGTATTGGCGCGGCTGCTGGCCCACCGGTGGAGTCGACATCGTAGGTGCGGATGTTAGGTAGAGAAAATTCTGATGCGTTGGCTGCTTGCGATCCTATTTGTGCAGCAGGGGTCTTGAGGTGCAGGTACTTTGTTTGGAATGTGTTAGGCGCGCGAGCATAGATGAGGGCTGATCATTTGCAGCCATCACAAGGTCATCACAGGAGATCAGTCGGTACTGACGCCGTCCCGACAAGAGAATGCTCACATCACAGCTGCTTACCTTTGTGCGCGAAAATGAGGTTCCTCCCTTTTGCATCTCTACCCAACGCAATGCTGGTGTTCCCAAAGCTCATGAGTGAAGCCGAAGTGCCTGTTCTGTTGCCACTTCCTCGTCTCTCCAGCGCACACTGGTCCGCATCAGCCATGTCTTCACTGGCCCCTTCCGCATGCCCACCGCCGGATCCAGGTGGGCCACGCAGCGATCTCGGTGACCTATTCTTGTCGACGTCACTGAGAGAGGCGTCAGTGGCCCAGCAAACATCTGCGAACCGCTCGCTAGCGCGTGTGTATAGCGTCTTGAGATCGCGCCGCCAGGTGTTTGTGGCATCCACTTGCGCACCGAGCAGGCTATTCCGTGTGAGCGCGTCTGTGGAGAAGCTGAGCCCGTTTTCAGCGCGGTTGCCGTTCTCATGGCCATTTTGAGAATATTCTTTCGAATACCCGTGCATTTGAGGTGAAGCATCCGAGGGAAGGGCGATCGCCAATCCAGAGCCGCTCAGCCCTAGAGAAGAGGCGCGAGCAGAGGCGGCCGTCGACATGGTTTGTTCGTGCTCTCCACAGGCTCCACCCATACACCGCTACGTGAGGCGCGGTCACTGGAAGCGCGGTCACTGGAAGCGCGGTGTCCTCCCAGATCACGGCACCCTGCAGACTACGAAGGCGAGGAGCAGCGCTCCATTGTCGGAAAGGTTGTGTACATGTAGCACATCTTCAAGGTGTATACATTGGCCGATACGGAACGCTCGCACATCACACAATGTGCAGCGTGCTTTGTGTTTGTCTTTGTAGGGTTGAGGCGCCCTGGGTGGTGCACGGCATATCACATTCGCGTCATTGCACGTGCAACGAGCAACCCACAGAGACACCTCTCGGCCGAGAATTGACACCAGGAGTAGCGCAAGTGGACAGCTGCGGTATAAATAAGACGCTTTGAAACTGCAACGAGCGCATAATCCATCTCACTCATTTCGGTTGTCATTCCAACTCCGCACATTGTCTCGTTGACGTGCTCGCCGCAAGATCCGACGACAGTTTTGGACACGAGATGCCGCCTTGACCGCGTCTGTAATTTACTCCACGGTGCCGTTATAAGAAGGTATCCCATAACCCCGTTCGCATGTCAAAACTTCAATACTTAGGTCATCGCAGCTAGTTGCCGCCAGCCGGGCGTGTGCTCATTCTCGAGCCGCCATTGTTGGTCCGGCCCTTGTTTCCGTCGATGCTGAAACGCACTCGCCTCGCGGGATTGAGAGGCTGAAGCCACAAGTCAAACGAAACCCGCATTCCAGCAAGACCTAGTCGTAGCAGAGCGTGCATCAAGATGGCTTCGATCGCAGTTGGCTCCTCGAGCTTCACCCCTCCCACGCACATGCTGACGCTGAAAATGGCCCTGCCGGCCGGCGGCTTCGCTGGGCCCGATCCTGGCTTCGACCTTTCCGCCAACCCATCGTTTACCCTAGACTACAAGCAATGGGTCAGTCCACAGGCCACACCCGAGAGCCGCGCGGCATTCGTCACATCTTTACGCGACACAGTCGTCGGCCTGGGATTTTTCTACCTCAAAGACAGCCCATTGGAGGAGGAAGGACGCAAGCAGAACATGTTTGAACTCAGTGAACGATTCTTCGCCCTTTCTCTTGAGCAGCGGATGAAGATTGACATTGAAAACAGCAGGCATTTCCGGTGAGTGCAAGTGGAAGAGACCTTCGGAAGCTGCCTGACAAAGGTTGCCGATTCTCATCGAATATCCAGTGGCTACTCAAAGTTCGGCGATGAACGCACACAATCACGGGTGGACCACCGCGACCAGATTGACTACGCAACACATGATGCGCCGTTTTCTACCGACGTCTCTGCGCAGACGCCCTTTTTGAACCTTCGAGGCACGAACCAATATCTCCCGGATATAGTCCTGGACGGTCATGAGCGAATGGTAACAGATTGGTTTGCGCGCTGCGACGAGCTCAGTTTCCAGCTGACCGTCGCGATCGAGCAGGCGCTCGGTCTGGAAAAAGGCGCACTCACATCATTTGTCTCCAGCACTGAGCTTGACTCTCATTCCGAATCCGGAGGCAAAGTGGCAGAGCTCAAGTCTCTACCTGGTGTGACCCAAGGAAAGGCGCTCCAGTACGCGCGCATGAAGATGATCCGGTATCCACTTGGGGAGCTCGTGGACGGAATCAAGCGGACGGTTGATTCAGCCAATGCGAACATTTCGACACAAGGCGTTGGCGCGCACAAGGATGGTGGATGGTTGACATTGCTGTGAGACTTTGGCGTCACCACTCGATCATGTTTAACCAGGCATCGGATGCTCATGACTTCCCTCTCGATTGCAGAGCCACGTCGCGGGTCGGCGGTCTGCAAGTGCAAGATCTTTCGGGCCGGTGGTTGAATGTCCCTCACAACGAAGGCAGCATTGTCGTCAATTTTGGACAGCAGTTCGAAGTCGTGACCCAAGGGCTCATGCCAGCTGCGACGCATCGCGTGCTCTCGAACACGCCCGAGCAGATTGCCCTCGGTGCGGACCGGTTGTCGATCGCCTACTTTAGCATGCCAGCGCTGAACGCCATCATGAAGCCGCTCCCGCAGGAGAGTTTCGGAAAGGAGGTCCGAGAGGCATACGCAAGGGCGCAGGAGAGATGGGGCAGTGATGAGCCCGTGAGCGATGTTGTTCGCAAAGACCTGCATGCGCCATTGGAGCCTTTCGGCATCATTGCATGGAGAGGCATCACCAGGAGCCACCCTGGCGTCGTTGCTCGATGGCACCAGGGAGTGCCGACCTAGTGTTACACCCGCATTCCAAGACTCGCACATGTTAATTAGCTTCGAAGCCTCTTTGCACTGTCTACTCTCACTAGATCATAACCTTGCTCCAGAAAATGCAATGCATTGAGTCGTTACATGACGAAAATTTAGCTCTGAAGGGTATCAGTCGCTTGGAACCGGCGAATGAAGACGATTCAGCGTGATGAAGCAGCATAAAGCGACAGCGTGTCGCGCAAAGCGCTACCTCTTGCCCCCTCCGCCTCCTCCTTCCGCGGCCGCTTTCGCTGCTTTAGCCTTGATGCAACGACCATACCATGCTTGCATGTCAGCAATCCGGTCATGATTAAGAAACACTTTTGCATCTGAGAGACAAATAATGTATATCCCATAAGCTACTCACCTCCATCTTCTTCCTGACAGCTTCAGCGTCCGCTTCACGCTTCTGCGCCAAGGACGAGGCACTCATCTTCTGCTTGCCTTTGTTCTGATCAGCCGCCTTCTTCTGCGCCTTTTCCCTATCTCTGTCGCGTTGGTTACCGCCTACATATGCAGACAAAATTTGGGAACAACCGAGATGATTCAAAAGGGCGTCCGTGGATACCCATCGCAGTCGGCAAGTGGAGGAAGAGAAGCGAGGAAAATCGCGATCAGAATGAAGCATCAGAGAGTTGGGCGATGGGGATCACTTTCAGCCTTGAGGGAAGCGGAGTCGGGGATACTCACGAGTCATGGTGACCCAAGGCCACGATGGCTGCCTCTATGCTGTAGTGAGCAGAGTATTGCACTCGATCTAGGTCAATTGAGGCAAGCGTAGTCCAAGATGAAGGAGTTAAGTTAGACAGTTCCCAAGTCGAGACTCAAGAGCGGGTTTCGAACATGGAACATGAAGCGACATGAGTCACGTGACCGCTAAGGCTTGTCGCAGTGGACAACATCGTCCACGCGACACACAGCTCCAAGTGACGAGAAGACGCATGCGTGGCGTCCAAAAGCTGGCCACCTCCAAATCACCTGCTCCCAAGGCGTCTTCTGTAGGTGTACCCTCTGCGACTGCCCCACGAGCGATCTCCATGGAACAACAGCAAGGGGAGGCGCGCTCAGATATGGAAGCAAGTGAGAGCATGTTGGGGGAGCAGCGCTCAACATGGCGCGTATTGTGTATGCACATACCCTCGAGAGAAAAGGACGTGAGCCGTCGATCGAAACGCGAATGTTTTGCCACCCCCTCCTTTCCCGGGGGAGCATGTCGAATAAGTTACAAGCAAATTTTTGTAAGAGAACATCAAAGAGGCGTGTGACGGCAGACAGCCTGCGGTTCAGTACATCTGAGCAAGAAGGTCTGGGTTAGTCTGCCCGACGTGCTGCAGAGCTTGGCCTGTCAAGCCGTTGACCCATGAGAACCTTCACACCAACACAAAGTCGAAGGTAGTTAGCATCTTCAGCCACTCGGACCCCACGTAGTGCGCAGGCCGTCGCTGGTACGTACCAAGGCCGCGTGAAATCGGCAGGATCGTGGATGCTGGAAGTGGGGAGAGGTAGGCGTGTGAATCAGCTGTCAGAACGTCAAGACACGGTGCGTGCGCAGAGGGGACATACTTTTGACTCTCGTGGATCAAGCCGGTACCTGCGGTGGTGCTCCTGAGGAACTGGAGCGCGTCCTTCTGCTCGGTCTTGTCAGCTGTCGTGAGGATCTGCACGGCCCTGCTCATGGGCCAGGCGTAGTAGAAGCCGACGTGCGGGCTGCCGATGCCGGAGCCAACGGGGCCGTCGAAGAACCACTTGTTGGTTTTGCTGCTGAACACCATCCTGCGCGTGCGCTGGTATGTCGCGTCGTCCGCAGCAACGTAGCCGAGCAGCGGGAGCGAAAGCAGCGAGGGTACGTTGGCGTCGTCCATGAGATATGTGCTGCCGTACCCGTCCACCTCGTACGCGTACACGTCGCCGGCGTCATGCACACCCGCGATGGCTTTCTTGGGCACGACGGCGTGCGCGCTGATCGCATCGCGGATCTCGGTCGCGAATGCCGCGACGTTGCACGCAACGTCCTGCATGCTGTCGACACCGCGCAGGACGTGCGCGATACCCTGCAAGCTGACGGCAAGGTATGCGTTGGCGGGGATGAGGAACGGAAGTGTCGTCGAATCGTCGCTCGGGCGGAAGGCCGACTTGACGAGCCCAACGCGGCTGGCCGGCTCGCCGAAGCCGGCATCCTGCTTGGTCTCGGTCGAGCTGCGTGTGTCGCGCTGGAAGCGGTAGGCGCCGCCGCCGAGCGCGCCATAGCGCTTCTGCCACTCGCCCTGCTTGCCGTCAGCACGTGTGACCAGGCCGGGCGGGTGGGCGACGTTTGGTGCCGCACGGTTTGCCTCGTGGTCCTCTAGGCTGCTGCGCTGCTGACTGCGCAGCGTGTCGACAGCCAAGCGGACAGCGCGCTGCCATGTCGGGTTGTTCACGAAGTCGCGCCGGCCTGTGGCGTTGTACAGCGCGATGGGGAGGTGGAGAAAGTTGACCAGCGAGTCGACCTCCCACTTGCTCTCCCACAGGTATACGCCGTCGTTGCCAGTTACGTTTCGCTGCGACGCAGTGGGCTTGGGCGTATAGTAGCCTGCATTGTCTGGGGCCGAGGGGTAGAACCAATCAGCGCCTCCATTGCTGTTGGGGTCAGACACGGCTGAGTTTTTCTGGTGCGCAATGTTGGCGTTTGCTGGTGGACCAAACGCGTTTGCTGCGGGATGAGGCGTCTCGGGGGGAATAAAAAAAGTCAGCTGCATAGCCATACTAGGGCAATGCCGCGTTGCAAGACACTAGACACGGCACGTACCATACGGATCGGTGATGACAAACTGGCTCTGCTGATAGACGAGGCCGAGGGCGAGCCTGTACAGCTTTGTCCATTCCTTGTCACCCGCCTTGTATCCCTGCGGCGGGTTCTGCAGCAGGGGCAGGTAGGTGACCAGCTGGTTTGTGCTATCCCTGAACCAGCTCGCCTCGATGTCGCCCGTGATGATATAGCTCCTGGGGAACGCCTTTGTGTGGTCAGTAATGTCAAGCTGCAGGTCTGTCCAGCCGACGGTGGTGTCGAGCGTGTTGGGGTAGGCGTTCTTCCAGATGCGATTCAACGCAGGGTCAGTAATGAGCGCATCGAGACGCTTGATCTCGGCCTCTACGAGCGCGCTGACGAAGCGCCGCTGCTTGGCGGGCGGGCGGGCGTCCGGGAGCTGGTCGAGCGGTGTTGAGGGATTGGGCGTCGGTGGCGTGTAGTCGGGGTCGCCGCACGCGTCCTCGGTCGTCTTAATGCAGGAGACCGCGGCGCGCTGGGCAGCGCTCCTGGTCGGTGGTGCATGCGGCATCTTGGACTTCTTTTCGTTGTGCGCGGCTGGGGAAGGGGGCATCTGGTGCACTTTGGTGTGTCCTAAGGCGTGAGAGTTGGGGATTTGGGACATGTGCAGCTCGTGGGCGGCTTGCACTGCGGCCGAGGACGCAGTGTGGGCGCTGCCATCTGCGAGGATGTACTGGTGCTGTGAGCTAGACTTGGCACGGGCGATCTTACGGAGAACAAGCTGCTGCTTAGCCTCCGAAAGGGACCAGGTGACGAGGAGGAGAAGGAAGGCGTTGACGGAAGCCAATGCGAGTCGCATGGTGGGAAAGAGAGAGAGTGTGTGTTCGGCCGGGGAGCCAGGGAAGCGGTCAATTGCTACAACAGCAGGATGAGAAAGGCAAGTAGGCTGGCAGGTGGAAGAGGGCGAGGGCGATGACATCCATCATCTCGCATACGCCGATGCTGCTCCTGCCATAAATATAGCGAAGACGAGAACGACAACAAGTCTACCCGCGCCCGCCGGGGAGGGGGGGAGTTGTCCCCTCCCTGGTCCCTACTCGAGGTAAATTAGGGCGGGCAGTGTCTCCCTGTCCGCGCAAGGGCCAGGATGCATCATGTTTAATACGCGAGGCGGGACTCGCCAAAATGGTCGCGGGCAGCTTCACATCCTACTCAAGGCACCGGGGTAGGGTAGCTTGATCACGACACCTTTCACCAGACATAAATATCATGGTGTTGAATGCCCGCATCGCAGAGTAGGATACAGTTCGAGGGCATCACGACGCGAGCAATCCTATGAGCTGTACAAGCCTGAGCCAGGCGCAACTCACCAGCCTTTGCTAGTCCAATGCTTCTGCAACGGCTTCCATCGACGGCAAAGGTGTCAGCGTACGTGGAGCAGCAAGAGGACAGAAGGATGAAGGACGGCGATGCCTACTGGCCGCCAAGCTAGCATTGTGCTGCGGTTCAGGGCCATTAAACATGTGACCTCGCGTCGAGCAACCAGCAGCCCCATTCAGCTCTCTCTCCTGCTCATAGGCAGACTCGATTGTGCAACGGTGCGTGCTGCACAGTGTGAGTGCCTGGCGGGAGGGTACCCATTATGTAGATGAGGTGGAGACGATCCTGGATTCGTGCCGCGGGTGCAAGTGGATGCGCAGTGCTAAAGCATGTGCCTGCCTGTGCAGTGTGTAGCGTCCAGCGCCCTCTGGCAGAGAGGGCGCGGAAATATGGCAAATACTGCGGCCCCGCAAAGCAAAAGCCCCGCGAAACCCCCGTAAAGTCTTTCCATTATACAGCTGCTCGCAGTTGACCACCAGACCCCCCCGGAAAGCCTCCATAAAACCACCCCACATCTTGCCTATTAACGTTGAAGAGTCAATTGAATTTGCTCCCACTATGCCTTCAAGGGCACGGATCTGGGGTCTTCAGGTCCCGGAAACCCCCAGAGCGAAGAGGCCTATGACCCGAACCTGATGGCTTTCTGGGCCTTTCTATGGCGCTCTTAAGTTTATGGGGAACGGGACTACAGGTTACCGGAATTTCAAGGCTGTCGACAGTCGCCGCCCATACTGTTTCCTCGCCACCTCTACGACGGGAAGAACCAAGGAACACGCGGGCGAGGGGTGGGTGTGGGGGAAAAGGACACAGTCATACTTGCGTTTGCTTGGTTGCTTACATAAGCCCTACTTGCTAGTAGTACATACCATCGCAACTCTTTTCTGTTGCTTCATCAACGTCGTGACCTCGCGCACTTGATCCCCGAAGTTCCTCCCCTCTTGCATGCCTTGAGAGCCTACCAGCTGTTAGTGCCCACCTACCTTTCGAAAACAGGTCCCTGCGTACGTGTGTGTGTGCGCTGCGACAGACACCATGTCCGACCTCCGACGCTGGATCGGCGACCATGCCATCTCGTTCTTCGGCATGTCCGAGTCGAGCATGGTCGACTTTATCCAGGTCTCCGCCTCGTCTGCATCCTCCTCGCAGCAGCTCTTTCAGACGCTCTCCACCCTCGGCCTGCCGGACAGCAGAGAGGGGCAGCGCTTCGCAGACGAGCTCTTCCAGCGCGTGCCGAGGGCCAGTGGCAGCGGAAGCAGGCCTGCGGTTGCCAGCGCCAGTGTCAGTGCCAGTTCAAAGGCGAGCGCTGCACCTGCGCAATCGAACGCTGTCGAGCGAAAACGGTACGGCCTTCTGCTAGATCAGGAAGTTGGGAAAGAGGAGCTTCTCATCAAACCGGAAAAGCGCAAGAAGAAGAAGAAGCGCCAGGAAGGCGAGGATCCCTTTTCCTCTTCCAAACGATTGCGCAGTCGCTCTCCATCCCCACGCGCCCACGCTGCAGCAGAGGGGGAGCAACAGGATGAGGAGGACCTTCCCGAAGACGTGCGCAGAGAGCGTGAGCGCCTGCGCGACCTCGCCGAGCGTGATGAGTTTGCAGCGCGTATGCGTGACAAGGACCGCGACTCCTCGCGCAAGCTCGTCGAGGATCGCACCTCGGGCCGCCTCAACCCAGAAGTGGCGGCGCGCAGGCTGCTGGCAGAGGACGCAAGCGCGCGAGCGAGTGCCATGCCAAGCCTGCGCGAGCGCAGTAGACAGGAGTACCTCGCTAAGCGCAGCGTGCAGCAGATGGATCTGCTCAGGCTGGAGATCCAGGACGAGGAGCGCTTCTTCAAGGACCGCAAGCTGACCAAGCGCGAGATCAAAGATCTCGAGTACAAAAAGGAGGTCCTCAGGCTCGCCGAGGAGAGAGCCAAGATTGACGACGGAGACCAGGGGTATGCTATGCCCGAGGACTACATCACCGAAACGGGCAAGCAGGACCGCAAGAAGAAGGAAGCACTGCTGTATCAGCGGTGTGAGTCGATTACTTGCCAGCTGCGCGGAGGCAGCCACAGACAGTATTTCTGACATGATCCTCTTTCTTCGTTCCGCACAGACGAGGACTCAAAGAATGACCGCCAAGCACAGGCCAACCATATCACCGATGTGGACCTGTTTGAAAAAGAGCAGCTGACCCGCTCGGCGCTCATCCCGGCTGAACTGGCGGACCCGTCTGCCGCGCTGGTTGACGAGTACGACTACGTGTTCGACGAGACGCAGCAGATCGAGTTCATCATGGACAAGGACAAGCTAGAGGGGTTGCAGGATGCGCTCGCGCATGATCCGCGCAAGGCACAGATCGAGGCGCAGATCGCCGCGGCCGAGGCGGCGGCGGACAAGATCCAGGCAACTCGCAAGAGCCTGCCCGTGTACCAACTGCGCGACGACTTTCTCGCCGCCGTCGAACAGTACCAGGTACTCATTGTCGTCGGAGAGACAGGCAGCGGCAAGACGACCCAGGTACCTCAGTTCCTCCACGAGGCCGGTTACACGCGCGGCAAGCTTAAGGTCGGCTGCACGCAGCCGCGCCGCGTCGCCGCCATGTCGGTCGCCGCGCGCGTCGCCGAAGAGATGGGCGTGCGCCTCGGCCGTGAGGTCGGGTACAGCATCCGCTTTGAGGACTGCACGTCCGACGACACGGTCATCAAGTACATGACTGACGGCATGCTCCTGCGCGAGTTCCTCACCGAGCCCGACCTGGCACAGTACTCGTGCCTGATCATTGACGAGGCACATGAGCGCACGCTTAACACCGACATCCTCTTCGGCCTGGTCAAGGACATTGCACGCTTCCGGCCGGAATTTAAGCTGATCATCTCCAGCGCGACGATCAACGCAGAAAAGTTCAGTGACTACTTTGACGGCGCGCCCGTCTTCTACGTGCCCGGCCGGCGCTTTCCTGTCGACATTCACTACACCCCGCAGCCGGAGGCGAACTACCTGCATGCGGCCATCACGACCGTCTTCCAGATCCACACAACGCAGCCTGCAGGCGACATTCTCGTCTTCCTCACCGGCCAGGACGAGATCGATGCGGCGATGGAGTCGCTGCAGGAGACGGCACACGCGCTCGGCAAGAAGATCAAGGAGTTGATCGTGTGTCCGATCTATGCGAACTTACCGAGCGATATGCAAGCCAAGATTTTTGAGCCGACGCCCGCGGCGGCGCGCAAGGTCGTGCTGGCGACCAACATCGCCGAGACTTCAATCACGATCGACGGCGTTGTCTTTGTCATCGACACCGGCTTTGTCAAGCAGAACTCATATAACCCGCGCACAGGCATGTCCGCGCTCACTGTCGTCCCGTGCTCGCGCGCGTCTGCCAACCAGCGCGCTGGCCGCGCTGGCCGCGTCGGGCCGGGCAAGTGCTTCCGTCTGTTCACAAAGTGGGCCTTCAACAACGAGCTCGACGCCGACACGACACCCGAGATCCAACGGACGAACCTGAACAATGTCGTCCTGCTGCTCAAGAGCATCGGCATCAACGACCTGCTCAACTTTGACTTCCTCGACCCGCCGCCGACGGACACGCTCATGCGCAGCTTCGAGCTGCTCTACGCTCTCGGCGCGCTCAACGACAAGGGCGAACTGACAAAACTCGGCAGGCGGATGGCCGAGTTCCCCGTCGATCCAATGCTCAGCAAAGCCATCCTCGCCAGCGAGACATACCACTGTACCGAAGAGGTGCGTTTCCCGGGCGGGTTTTTTGTCGATGCTTCTTTCGTTCCTGCTTCAGACTGACGCGATGATTGCCGTTTGCATTTTGCCCAGGTCTTGTCAATCGTATCAATGCTGTCGGAGAGCGCATCTTTGTTCTACCGGCCGAAGGATAAGAAGCTGCACGCAGACCGTGCGCACGCCAACTTTAACCGCGGGCACGGCGGCGACCACTTCATGCTGCTCAACATCTGGGAGCAGTGGGTGGAGAGCGGCTATGCGCACAGCTTCTGCGTCGAGAACTTTGTTCAGCCCAAGACGCTGTCGCGTGTGCGCGACATCCGCGACCAGCTCGCGCAGCTGTGCGAGCGCGTTGAGATCATCCCGCAGAGCAATGCCAACTCTTCGGACATCTCACCGATCCAGAAGGCTATCACCGCGGGCTACTTTATGAACGCGGCCAAGATCAGCAAGGGCGGCGATAGCTACCGCGGCATCAAGGCAAGCTCAACAACCGTGCACATCCACCCATCGTCGTGCCTGTTCAAGTCGATCCCACCGCCGCGCGCACTGGTATACTACGAGCTGATGGAGACGAGCAAGAACTACATGCGCTCAGTGATGGAGATCAACAGTAGCTGGCTGCTTGAGGTAGCGAAGCACTACTTTTCGCCGGAAGAAGTCGCGGACGAAAAAGGGCGCAAGCTGCCAAAGCAGGTCATCACGAACAACTCGCGTCCCGCGGGGCCGATCGAAGCGCGGGGCTGAATCGCCGAGTGGCGCATTCGCACGACACACCGTCCATGCGGGTTTGTGCTGAAAGGGAAGAAAGGGGTGAAATATTTGGAAATACCTGCGATGCAATGCTACAATCAACAATCTGGCTAAACGGGCGTGAGATGGGTATGATAATGTTGCTGCTCGGCTCTCGTTCCTAGCTCCATGCGTCGGCAGCTTGAAGGGTCATGCCCTCGCAATCAATGCGCCGATTGCTGCTTCGACTGTTGCTGGCTACTAGGTGTCGCCATGTGCTGTCCGGATTGGTTTTTGACGTCTTCGTTGACCTGCTTCTGCGCCGCGTTAGCCCACTCCTTCGCCTGCAACGGCGTTAGGCCGGAGACTGTGCCGCGCAACTGGGCAGGCGGCATCTGCACGGCGAAGGGGTTATAGTCGTTGCGCTGATCGAGAGAGCCGAGGCTGTGGTTGATGAAGCGGTGCGTCGCCTCGTCGGCGCGAATGGCGTAGAGCACATCGAGCATCTTGGCAGAGTCTGGCATCTTCCAGTACTCTTTGGCGATCGCTGGCGCTGGCAGATCCTCCCACTCTGGCAAGCGGCCCTCTTCGACGTCTCTGATGATGTTCGAATATGTCGAGACGGCCTCCTCCTCGAGGATACCTACGAGTCTATGGCTGACGCGCGGGAAGAAAAGATAAGAAAGGAAGAATGCCTGGAGGGTACAGTCGCGTCAGCAAAACTGCCCAGTGGTGGAACGTTTAATTTGAGTGGTCGAGGCAGGCAATCAGCTCACATTGAAGTAGACGCTGCCGGCCAAAGGATACGACGGCAAGAGAAGAAGTGGAGATGAGTGTGAGCGAACCACTGCAAAACATGTCCATACTAGGAAACCCGTGTTGGGTCGAGTCTCAGCTCACCCTTGCGCGCCGAGGATAGCGAGGCGCATCAACCGTCCCGGCTTGGCGTATTCCATGGCGGTGAGGAGGTGCATCCTCTCGTTCTCTGCGTCCTCAAGCAGCGTTCGGATCCAGCCTTTGTCGCGGCGCATGACGCGCAGCGACTGTAGGTGCCTGCATGCGGCTGCTACAAGACCTGGTACGCCAGCGATTGTCTCTGCGAGGTTGGCGTGGTGCGCAGGGTGGGGCAGTAGGAGATGTGGGGGGTGG